AACGAGCTATTGGCAGTGGATTGATAAAAAAGCTTTCAGTAGCTCTAGTTATCTATATAATTATTTTCTGCTATAAGGCGTTTCTTAGTATTTATCTTTGGAGCCATTGCGTGTGCAAACGTTATGTATAAAATTTCGGCTTCAGTTTTTATACTACTAAAACCCGCATACTAGGCTATCCCAGTAACACAATTTGTTGATTTTGGCTCGGCGGAATCAAAGTAATGCGAGACCGGTTAATATACATTGCGCATTTTGTTTTCTGCTGTTAGTTAACTGAGGGCTGCAGGTCGTCTTTTACAAGGATCGAAACGGCTACGGGCAAGGCTAAACGTTCGTCTTAGAAATTGCTCTCATTTGGAGATTTATCACGCGATTGGGACCGAAAACAATATTTCCAGAGGCTAACGGTTGCTTGGAGTACCTTCCTACTCCATTCGCCGATAGATATATAGCGGGTGGGAACGATTTTGGTGCACGATACTGTGCACGATATCATTTCAGCAATAGGAAGGGAGCCAAATTGAGTTTAAATAATCATTCTATATAATAATAGCTATGTTGCATTGTGTTGGGTAACAAGACAGAAGGGAAATTCTAAAGCTAACGTACACTGCTGTTCCTGCTCCATGTGCGCCCATTCCACTTTTCAAGCGAATAACGACGCTACATTCGGTGCAGCTGGCTTCCGTAGTTATCGTAAACCTTGTCTAGGACAGGCCAGTTTTGATTCAGTCGTGGATTCCTATCTATGGCAAAGAAATCCAGGCCATTAAGTACACTAATGCCCAACCTAACGGAGCACCCACTGCCTTTGTAGTACCTCACCTTAGCAGTCTGCCTTTCGGGCAACTATCAGAGACGCAAATCGATCACAGTACGAACATCGACTGCAATCCTTGAAACGAAAGCATTTTATATAACAAGCGGCTTTGATACAGGAATATATTTCTATCAGATAGAAAGGTAGAAGAGCAAATGATAAGAGAGACCCGAAAAAAAATATCGCAAGCGCATTATTTGATAGCTAAAAGATATCTAACCCATAAATGAAGAAACGAAGAGTACCATTAATTACAGCACAGCAGAGTTACCTATTTGAATAAATAGTTATATGCGGTCAAAGACTGGCAAATATACTAAACAGCAAGCTATTTCCATTAGGGTAGAATTTATGAGATCGTGAGGGACATGTCAACGCCTGGCAATGAGCCGTTTGGATAGGCAAACGCAATGGCTAACCCCATAGGGCGTCAACCCTCCCCTTGGCCGCGTATACCCATCCAAAAGCTGTTTGCCCGGCAATAATCGTCTGGATGTAAAGAAGTGTATCTCACTATATGCAAGATATCTCGATCGGCGGACCCGATGTCGAAGTGTCGGAGCTCCGATGTTCACCCAGATTCTTCTATATCTGCCCAGTGAAACCCACCATTCACTTTACGTCGACTGCGTTGATTCTGGCGCCGAACCCGACCGGACTAAAGGGTGTCGCCGAGAAAAAGAACACATACGTTCTTCAACAATATTTAAGCTGATGGGCGCTCGTACTGTATCTTCCTAGTATCCTTTTTCAAGCCGATCATAGTTCTTCTTCCTTGATCCTATCGTCGAACCTTCTCCAGTATGAGGTCTCATTGCCTTTGACTTGTTGGCAGCTTCTGCCTTGCATCTCTGTCAGCCGCCCGCGAATTCTCGGCTACCTGCGATAAAATATCATTGGATGATGCGCATTATGTGGCCACAACCTGCACGAAAATGGATGGCACCAGGAATAGAAGTAGGTTGGATTTGAGTGCTTGCTACATCAGTGATGGTGGGGTTCTGAGACTTAAAAAAAGGTTAGTTCAACTAGTAGCTTCTTATCTTGCTTAAGCTAACCGAACCTTTTAGATAACGACCTGTCAAACCTGGACGGCAAGCTAAAGTGCTAGATATAGGATTTTATTGGCTTTGGATAGATGCCATTCCATGTGTACTTAGCAACTGAGAATTGTCAGTGCTGAATATCATTTTGTCTGTCTGGTATATGCTTGAAACTTTAGAAATTAGAACAACTGTCAAAAGGAAACGGCAAGCATTAAGTTTTCAGCAAAAATGTTTCAGATCTTACATGTGCCGTAGCTCACATATAATCCTAGACCGTTCAAAACTTGTGACGAGATGAAATTCAACCAGGGAGGCGTGACTGACGATGGTACCACAAGGAAGCGGTACTAATGTTACGTCCATAATGATCTCCCAGTGGCAACTGTCTCCCTGTTTGCCTTGATGCGGTTGGCTCGCCAGGGAACACCCCCTCTCCACCGGCATATTCAGTAAACATGTCGTGCCACGTTATCTCCCGGCTTTGAATTCGATATACCGTTCAATCTAAACCCAGAACATGTACTGACTCGTTTCAGCATGACAGGCTCTATCTCTTGGGAGTGTGTCGCCTGCGACGAATGCACCTCCAAAAAATGGACCTGTTCCTTCGTACCATATAGCCTTGACACCACTCTCGAGGTCCTTGTCTCCCGGTTCTTACCGAGGAAACGTCGAATTCATATTAATGAAATCGGGAGACACCCTAACACTAGCTTTCACAGACAATGTTTCTACCAATAGATGGCAGACGCTGCTCATGAACGCTCATTGGGTAGCAGAGACACTCGAACGCAGCGTTAATATATTTATAAGCGAAAGGACCTATCTTCAACGGCAAATATTGGACTATCATGAAGAGCAAAAGCACCTTCAGGCTGAGTTGGCGAAAGAAATCCGTGATTGTGGTTACAGATATATTCAAGCAATCAAGGAGAGAAAAAGTACATTTTTTCAAGAGTGTCACCAACATGTGCCGGAAGTCCACCTTACTCGGCGTTTTCATCTTGTTTGGCAGTCGTGTTATCCAAAGCTGGTAGGCTCAGTTTGCCCCTGATATGTAAATAGTCCAGTCATTAGATATGTAACTCTGGAACCTCAGCATCAAGCATGCACCTAACCATGAATAAATGATAAACGTAATGCTGTGGATGTATCGCATATGTTGTTAACAATCCTAGAGCCATTCACCATGCCATAAGACAGATATTATCGTATCTCTAGCTATTATGACAAATTCGAAAAACTACTAAAGGGCTTGTGGTTTATGTACTGCATCTTCCAAATTTTCGAATGGTTTCTATGGATCTATTTTTACCTATTTTAGGGGGAATCTATCTTGCTTAAGTTACTTGATATCTTCGATGATGAGACTTTTTTCCGTTATACAGTATTGCCAAAAGAAAGATAACTAATGGCGCATTCCTGTAACCATTGAACGGACCTAGGTGTATTTAGATAGACTTAAACTTCCACGCTGATAAATCCAGACAAGCCAAATAAGAGATCAATCTAGAGCAAGAAAAAAGCGGTTATAAGTAGGAAGATTCGGTCTCCATTATCCCTCAAATCCAATGCGTCTAACAATCTGGAAAGAATTTGGTGGCATGTGGACAACGACATAGTGACCCAACATCATTTGTTCTTGCACATTGTAGTATAAATACTTCTTTCTCCTTCGGCTGCTCCGAACTTTGGAATTAGTGGTAGGCTCCTCTAGACCATTCTTATGAGTATCCCAAACTAGCCAAATCGACTGGCAGCTCATCAGAGATGCCCCTTTTGCTTGCCCAGGGATATTTTTATCCCATACACTATACCCTGCCGGTGTTTCCGGTCCTCCCGGTCTTGCCCATCCCTATTTGTCGTTTCCACTTAGACGTCGATGAGCAAGCCTCAGCCAGTCAATTTAAAACAAATTTTTCGTGTTCAATCGGATGTTCTATCTTGCTATATAAAGACAAGTTAAGTTACGCAGTTTCCTGTGAAACATTTCTGTTCCTAAGAGAAGTAACAATGTTCCTATGAACCATGAGATTGCCGGGCCTACTCTCAGGAAATTCTTGTGGCGAGTATCCACTCCGTAAGACCGATATAAATCTCTTATTATCATCTCCCCTTGATGAGGGTTCGAATGCCGGACGTTCAAAAGTACCTCTACTCCTCTTACTTCTCTATTTCAATCGCCTGTCTGGGGCTTTAAACAGATCGCCCACCGTTATGGCAAGTAGAATAATACTGTCAAACTACAATAAGTCTGTAAAGACTGACTATAGTTAGCCCGTGTTCTTGACTGTCCAATGGAGATCCTAATGATCATAGCCGAATTCCTAGGGGGACGTGAGATCTCAGCCTTTGCTCAGACGCATAGAATTCTTTATCCCGAAGTCCGCCTGGCGCTGATTAGATACAACATCAAGCACCAAAACAGCTGTGCGCTCCACTGGGCGGCTCAAACCAACAACAGCGCCTTTACAAAAACCCTACTTTTCTACCGAGCGGATGTGAATGCACTTGTTAACGGCCTCTCTCCTTTGATGACAGTTATAAAATATGACGCTAAGCTGGTTATCAATCGCCTGTTACAAAAAGGAAAAAAAACACAAATTAAGGGTCAACATGAAAAATGCAAAGGGTCATAGCGCTCTGTGGTATGCTGTGGACACAAGGTCAGCAACCGTCGTTAATCAGCTACTTCAAAACCCTCAAGTTCAAGTCGATGTTGTGAACAAAGAAGGCGAAACTGCACTGTTACTGGTTATCTTTCTTGGTCAGAGGACACCAGTGACTTGCTGTTGTCAGCAGGTGCCAATCCCTTTCACAAGGACAAAATCGGAATGTTAGCATGGAGGCAAGCCTGCATCCGAGGTGATGATATCATATATTTGCTCTTAGATCACATAAAATCAAGGGCCCCAGGAGTTGGGCTGAAGGGTAAAGTCCTCATTGGGGACAAAGAGACCATGGATGATGATTCAAATGCCAGGCAGTTCTCCACTTCAGGAGTAGCCCTCACCAGTGGAGGGAAGATGAATACAGTCGATCAACAACAGCGAATGCTGCCTCCCACCACTGCAAGATATGATGATCAACCTAGAGTGTTTCTTCTGGTTCGTGCACTTGATGTTTGCAGTTTAGCCTCGTCCTTCAGCTATTCTAGAGTTAACCCATTTGAGGTGGGTCGATGCTCCAGCAGTTTCCCGCACCGGGTCCGTGTCCAACCACCTGTGATATGGTTCAATATCGATGTCCATAAGCCTGAGCTCATCGGTCATTTTTGGCTGAACGATCGTCCTTACCTGGTCACGGATAGTCCGCCGAGCACACACTGTAGACGAGCGATTCGTTAGCATGGCTTGAACGGAGGCAACCAACATTCCCCGGATTTGATGATTATACCGCCTACCAACATACTGCCTCGACGCATACAAAGGTATTCTCTTATAGTTTTTCCCACATCAACAGACCCCCTATTTAATCGAACCCTCGAACCGGGGCTGCGAGAGGACACATCCTTGCGATTTTGCCGGTAATAAAGGAAGAATTGAAGGATCTGTCATAGTCAACATATGTATAGCAGTCCGCTCCGCTGTTGTGTTACCTTGAATTCTTGACGGTCGAGGTCAAGCAAATGCTGCATGTTCACCCAACGACGATTGTCTGGACACTGTTAGCACAATTCCCTATGTTCTGAGGGATGCAACGCGCTGGCGTTATTGCGAAAAGTAAGTACCTAAGTCCTCCATTTGCCAGACAACGATGAGCTTCCGTACCATGGCACGGTGTTGTTCACTCGCTAGAACAAGCTCCTGAATGAGTGAAAATACGCGCGCGATGCCGATATCCTCTACGACAAGTAACACAATCCCGAAGCGGGTGAGATCGGGTGGTCTCCCGTACGGGCCCAAAACGAGCGCATTCTGTCGAACGTTGTGGAGACTTTTAGCCTGATAAAGGGCAGCATTGAGTGTCGAAGACTGCGGGCGGGCGAGCACGTGCAGGGTACGTCGACTCGTGGCATCAATCAAGGCACTCGTCTCGCCCAAGGCTTCCCCTTGACTGACAGTGCACGCTGCGGCGTCGTGGTCTTCCAATGGCTCGGCATGCCTCTGTCCTTTCCTTTTGTGGGCGCCGTATACCGATGTGTCACTTTGAACCAAAGTCTCTGCTTCACTCAACGTACTAGGTAGTGTGTTAGCTACCAACAAGGATTTAATTGAGTATGCGCCCAAAATTTATTCGCTAGCTTCAAGCCCCACAGATCAACCGGAACCTCCCATCATGACGATCCTTCTAGCAGTTCAATTATAATCCTGGGTGGGTCTATTGCAAAGTTGCTGATGGCCCCAAACAAAGACAGAATAAAGAAGGAAAATACGCGAGAGAACGACAGAGACAACACCCCCTTTCCACACGTCTCTACGATTGTTCTTTCGCGTGTTCCTCACATATCTTCGCCACACCAGAAGGGTCCACAGACTTCTTCTCCTTCGAAATGACTAGCAATCCCCGAACCATCCTCATAACCGGTTGCTCAGCTCATGGTATCGGAGCAGCTCTGGCCCTTAACCTCGCCCGACGGGGTCATTTTATCTTCGCCACAGCCCGGTCTCCTGCAAAAGTCCCAGACATCCTGACCTCCCTAGAGAACGTGAAGGTGCTGCCTCTGGACGTTAGAGACCCCTCCACGATCGCGGACGCCGTGCGCGCGATCACTGACCACGGCCGTGGTCTCGATATTGTGGTCAACAACGCCGGGACAGGATATACCGCACCTCTACTGGACACGGACTTTGACCTCGCCATGGACGTGTACGAGGCAAATGTATGGGGGCCGCTGCGCCTGATCCAAGCCTGCGGTGACCTACTCATCGCTTCCAAGGGCCGGATCATTAATATGAGCAGTGCGGGGGCTGCGGTTAATACCCCGTGGCTTGGTGCGTTTTGATTTCCTCCTGGCTCTTTGTGTTTGGGTCGACCAGAGGACCTAGTAGATGGGTTTAAAATCCGCCTAACAACAAACACCCCTTTAGGCGTCTACTCCTCCTCCAAAGCCGCCATCACACAATTATCCGAGACTCTTCGCCTTGAACTCGCCCCCTGGGGAGTCCGCGTGGTCTGCATCATGGCCGGCACCGTCACCAGCGCGTTTCACGCCAACGAGCCCGAGGTGATCTTGCCCCCGACTTCGCGGTACGCAGCCATTCGACAAACCATCTCCGACCGGGCGATAGGACGAGACGACCTCAGGAGATGTTCCGCTGACGAGTTCGCGGCCTCGATTGTCGACGAGGTGCTGGGCACCGCTGGCGGAGTGGTCTGGAAGGGACCGTACAGTGCTATCGTCAGGTTTCTTTCTCGGTGGTGTCCTGCGGTGGTTTTGGTTCGTTTTCCCTCCTATTTTCTCTCGTCTAGATTCAATGTGTCTTGTAGGACTAACTGTATCTGTAGGATCGGATGATGAGCAATGGACAGGGGTTGGATGAGCTGGCGAAGCAAGGAGGCAAGTAGAAAAAAGAGAGATCACAAGTTCATAGCGGAGATATGAGAAAGAGAGCAAAACGCGGTGTGGATTCTGTAAAAAGTAACTGCTCAGCCCACGGAGAGATTTTTAAGTTTCGTTGGACGAGCTCTATGTATAGGTTAACCTAGGGAAGCCCGGCAGGGATTGTCCTTAGAATATTAAATTACTTCAGCAGCCTGTCCCTGACACTGGATATTCCTACAACATATATAGCACCATAATTTCTTAACAGAGAGAAAGAAAACCACAGCAGCAACAGAGGCTCCAGCCTCATAGCCCATTAGTATACTAAATGTAGGAATAGTGAGAATAGCTAAAGTCAACTAAGAAAGATATTCATTGCCTGGCAGCGCTAGGTAGTCGTGTTTAGCGTCTTTTTTCTGCCGCAAATGACACGCCCACCTCACCTACCACTACGCACCTGTAAATCAGCATGAAATATAAGTCTTTTAGCTATCTATGAGCAATTTATATCTTTCTCACCCAAAGGAGGTCGTGGTGTATGGAAATCAGCCCAGTATAGCCTTATATCAGGTCTGCATAAAGGAACTTTGCAGGCCTTACAGCAATATACTGTGTAAAATTGCTTTGGAACAGTATAATCTTAAGCCTTCGCTCTTTGCATCTGTATAGCACAGAAATGGCACTATTTGCGAGGGTGAATCCTTTTAACCTCATAATTACTATTATGCGATGGTTGGACTAAGCTATGTCTTCGTTTTCTTTTCAGTGATTCCTCTGATGCTTGTATGAATAGCTCTCTATAAAGAGCTTTCCGAAATTCAAGATGAGTAATCTCCTTTATATCTCGCTGTCTGTAAGCCGTCTTTGTAATATAATAAGCATTAATAATAGCTACATCAAGCGTCCAAAAGAATATAGGCCACCAGGAGCGTAAACATCTTTGGTAAGTTTCATAACTTGCACGCAGTTGATTTGCTCGATCCACGCCTCTCATATGATAATTATAATCATCAATTAGCAGGGGTATTGGAAGTTCCTTGGTAAGCTGGTCACTAAAAGGCTCACGAGTAACTTTTGCACTGGTTAAGGTCTTTGAGGGGCGTTTACGCAAGCGAGTAACCCAATCAGTTAGCTTATGTACAGTGTATACAGTTGATAAAGCTGTAACAATGCTATTATCTTGCTATACAATGTATAGTACAGAATCAATGTCAGATTTATCAGTTGCGGGAGCTGCATATAGGGTATTCCATGGTTAAATATTCTTTGAATCTTTTAGCATATGAAGAGCTTCTAGAAATAGCTTTTTAGATGCATTTAGTCAGGTAATACTACAAGCACCAATCCCAAGCTGCCGAAGATGACGGAATAGAGGAATAGTAGAGTAGCAGTTGTCCATATAGATCGTATAGTTATTGTGTTGTGATAGCAGGCCTTCTTGCTCCAGTTAAACAACTATAGATCCAGTTAGAGTTAAAATTCCAGCCTCATGTTTTTTAACCTCAACAAGAGACTTATGGCGACTCGCCCATATCCAATATAGAATATAGCTTTGATCAGTAATAGCAAAGAGATTATGTCCTTACTTGATTGGCTTATTTGGCATCTTGAAGGTATGCTGAGAACGCCCAAAGCCACGAATCATTGTCTCATCAATAGAGACTGTATTTGAAGGTTTCCAGTACTGTAAACAGGCTTCGCGAAGTCTGGATGCAAAAGGCTCTAGCTTATACTACCACATCTGATTGAGTGTAAGATTAAGCCTTATAGCTTCTTGGATAGTAGCCTCTGGATCAGGATCCGCAACATGAAAGAATCGTTTAATTTGCTGGAATCGTTTTAACCTCATGAATCTGCGAGGTATATGAATTGACTCCTTATCAGTCCGCCAATAATCTTCATCGCTAGGAGAAATATGAACCCCCATATAGATTAGAGTTGCAAGAAATGTCTTGATCTCCGAAGCTGTAGTGTCATGCCATTCTCGTCCAGACTGGCCCACATTCTTAGCCTTCGCATATTTGTTGGTGTTGGATGATAATGATGTAATCAGTTCTTCAGATAAAAATAAAGAGTATAGGCTGTATGGGCATTCAATATTCACTCCATCTGGCAATTTGATCGTAGGAGGGAAAGCTTCAGCCATTTCAAGAGGCTCAAACAGAAAATTTTGGTACTGGGTTATTGTGACATCCTGAAGCCAGGGAACTTCCCGGTGCAGAGGGACGTTCGGGAGGAACGTTCTGGTTAGTTAGTATAGGATCTAGGGACCCTCCGGTAGGCATCCAGGAACCTTCCTGGATGCTTTGCAGGTATTCCTGCCTGAGGCGAAGCCTCGGGCAGTATATAGAGGCTCTAGATCCTCCCTTCTAAGATAGCCTTTCTTTCCCATGGTAAAATTCCTTGACTACGAGTCATAAACAAACTTGTCTTTTACTAAGCTCCTTTGTAGACCGTCACAGGTATCTCGCGAAGTATTTGCGTTAGATTTTGCTTTGCTTCTTCCTTCTTTGAAACAGGAGGAGTCGGAGAAGCACTAGATAGTGTGACAACCTCAGGAATGAAGAAATTATCTTATTGTAGGCTAGTTACGAAACACTAAGTTGAGGAAAGAAGAAGAAGAAAACAGCGATTTACTGCATGAAGCAGTAAACAAACCCACTATGTGGGACAAACGAACCAAACAGTGCAAACTATGCAAACACTCTGGTATAGGGCGGTTGCTCCGGACGTCACAGATAGAACAATAGAGGAGCTATACAATAGGGGTTCTTTAACCTCTTTCAGAGGCAGACCTTAGGAATCCATGATGTATGAAGACGCGATTACCACGCGTAAGACGCGTTCTAGTTCATAGAATAAACATGCGTGCAAATATGAGGATTTGAGACTATTCCTAATTCGTATGGATGCGGTAAAGATAACTGACCAATAGAGCTACATAATTCAAAATTACCGCTAATCACGACTAGCGCTGCCAGGCAAAGGGATAGAAAGAGGAGGTCTTGGCGTTGCATACACAGAGGGATGCAAAAGCTTGGCGGATTGCAGCCACCTGAAATACCAAAACTGGTTGTGAGACTGTTTTGTTTTGTAAAGCCAATTTTTGACAAAATTTTCATCCATTGCCCGGGTGGTCTAGTGGTATGATTCTCGCTTAGGGTGTCCCTTTTAGGGCCTATTAACCCAAGCATATCTGCGAGAGGTCCCGCGTTCGATCCGCGGCTCGGGCCAGTGTTTCTTTTTGCTAATCATTTTTGATATCTTTCACCAACAAACACCCCTTTGTCCCAGAGGGTAAATCTTGCAAGGGAGCTCCCATTTCATGCACTAAATGCACCGGCTGTTCTTCCAGCTATACATCCAGTACATTGACTGTCTGTCCTACGCTACATGTGACGACCTATATTTAGAGCGATGCGCAGCCAAGTCTGTTTGTTGACTTGGTATTCTGGTCTTTTAGCATGGCGCAGTGGTTAAATGTCCCGCGGCCTAGAAGGAGGCTCCCGTAGGCAGATCTGCTTTATATCTTCCAGCCCTTCTTCACGTTCACTACATTAGTTTGTTAAACTAAAGACTCGAGTATTCACCTCGTCTTTAGTATTTATAACAGGCTCTTTGATCATCTTGAAATAACTATGCGTCAGCTTCGTCAAAAGAAGGTAGCCTAGAAACAGCTAATGCTTTTCTCCCTAATGGCTGCGAAAGATAAACTATCCAAATACTACGGTATGACTGATCTTGTCGAAGGTGATCTCTATGCAATTGGAACCATCTTAGATCCGTCAAATAAGATGGAGTTCTTTTCAACAAGTGATTGGGCCCCAGAACACAATATCGGAAAGCTATTCCCGATTTAAGATGTACGAACACGCTGGAATCCAAAATTTCTGATGCTCCGCCGGGAAAAGCGACTACGATCCTATCTTGATACCTACTGCATGGCAGATCACCACACTGACCTTTAACTGAGTGGAGATGAGTGGCAGCAGATCGATTATTTAATCTGCATTACGCAGCCATTCTATCAATACACTACCGCTCTCTCAAAAACCAAAAATGTTAAAATTCATATGGTTTTTAGTATCTATAATCGTTTATTTGAGCATCTTGAGAGCCGCCAGCGTCAGTTACGCCGCAAGAAGATCTTGTGAAAACGTCAGATGCTTCAGGCACTTGACATGGCAAGAGATAAACTCAAGGACTACTACTCAGCAACCGATACTCCAGGGCTTATCAACATATATACCAATGGAACCATCTTGGCGCCGCAGTATAGGCTTGAGTTCTTTCAAACCCCTGAATGGCAAGATGAGGACTTTGCAGGTAAATATAAAGCAGCACTAGAGCAGCAGATTCTTGCCTACGAAGTTCATCTCTATGATACTTGCTCACAATCCCAAAAGCCCTCTCACCCAAAGCCTGTTCAAGAGATTGAACTACTGCTGGATAGTGATAGAGCCCGGCCTGCAGTACAACTCTCAGAGCTCAATCAGTATCTGAAGGGAGGTAAGTATTCTCTTAAAATGCAGGTTAAATAAATACCTCTCTAACCATTCATTGAATAGGTACTACAATCACTTCCCCGCTTGATTTCTGGAGAGATCATGAGCAGCAATTCCCAGTACTTGCAGCGATGGCTCGAGATATGCTTTCTATTCCAGTTACTGGTGCAGGTGTAGAGCGCTTATTCAATTCTGCCCGTGATATCTGTCATTATCGCCGTGGCTCTCTCCATGCAACAACTATCCAGGATCTTATGCTGCTGATGTGTGCTAATCCGTTTGATATCGAGGAGGAGCAACTCGCTTTTATACGAGATTATAAAACGGAATACGTGATGGATATTCAACAGGAGGATACCATAAAGCATGTACCACAGGAGATTGTAGAGATTAGTGAGGGAGAGGAGGAGGAGGAGGAGGAGGAAGACGAAATTTCTTCACAGCATCATACAAAGCGAAGAAGAAATAACTATGAGGCTGATGAGATGTCAGATGAGGCAGGAGGAGGCTCTACAGAAGAAGAGCCTCCATTACTCAAGCGATCTAATACTCGGCGTGCTTCAGGGAGAGCCCGCATACCTTCGATACGGCTACAGGGATATACTCCTTGTTATAATCTATACTTCTATTCAAATTTCTGTTCTTACTGTATGTTTCAATATAAAAACAGTTATTTCATCAAGGAATCACTTCATCGTCGATACCACAGCGTTACAGCCAAGATCTATGCTCTTTCTACCAATCACACTTTTCCTGCCTGGGGGTACTATGAAAGGTATAAAAAAGATTGGCCCGAGCCGCGGATCGAACGCGGGACCTCTCGCAGATATGCTTGGGTTAATAGGCCCTAAAAGGGACACCCTAAGCGAGAATCATACCACTAGACCACCCGGGCAATGGATAAAAATAAATGTCAAATTTTGTCAATATAACAGAAGTCTATCTGCCCGTCAAAGAGAAGGTAAAAAGATACTCCGTATTCTACGGTGACGGTGAATTACTGGATAAGGTAAAGCGTGTCTATTTGGGGAAAGCGCGTCAATGCCGCTTGGTATCGCGGTGCGTGGCCTATAAAGATGCCTTTTCGTCGCTTTCTCTAGAGCGGCCAACTCTCGCCGCGATCTCTCACCCGACGGTCTTCCCAACTCGAAGCCCCTTGAAGCGTTTTTACTATTGGATCAGTCCTCGCATGTTCTACACTTCGCCACCCCCTTTAACACAAAAGAGTTGCTAGGTTCAAAGGAGTGTCGTAATCAAGTTGGTATTCGCTGTAGATGATTGTAACAAGGCCTAAGGTTGCGTTGGCACCGAGCTGGGAGCAGTGTCTTGCCAAGGCTCTCGGGGTTATTATTACTATCAGGACTGCGTCTTGTGAAAACCCATAGAAAGCGGTTAAAATTTTTGTCAGTTGACCGCCTACCTAGCTGATACGTGCTATATCATACCTACGGACGTCCCCTGTCTTTCTGCTCTGTGCATTTGAGGAACTTGTCCGTTTAAGTATGTACGGAATACTCCGTAAATTATTGACCTTCGTTCTAGGTAGACCTGGCATTTATTAACTTACGTAGTAGAGGTAGACATTTCTTATCCTGAGGTAGAATTTCGCATCAGCCTGATGATTATTGGGGTCATTATCTGTGCGTCTGCAAAGAAAAAGCAAAACTACCTTGAAAAGAAAATAAATGAAAAAAAGCTAAACAAGTTGAGCACAGCGAAGATTTAGGGTTACAGAAGCTATGACCTGCTAAAACTTATGAATAGCTATTGAGCTACTAGTCATTCTCCATTAAGACAAAGGAGTTGACTTCGCAAAGGTCTGACGCATCAATCACTGTAACCTTCCGATATCCTTCAGAAAACACAACGTGGTACAGACGGTCCTTGAACTCTAGAGAAGGTATTAGTTAAGTCATAAGTAGTTAACGGTAGAATTACCTGGACGGAATTTTCGTGGCCGTATATTGGTGAAATTGAGAACAATATATTGGTCCATCTTTTCTTTTTCAATCAGGGTAAAGTATTTTCCATTTGGTTTAAACCTGTCCATGTGTTCCTGAAGCCGGTCACTTTCTCTTAGTAGTTCCAATCCCCACTTCTTCTCCGGAACAAGGAAGTCAATTGTTCCACCTTTAATACCCGACTGAATCACGAACTCAGGAGATATGAGAACATGCCCATCCACTAAAGGAAAAAGGCAGCGATAAAACTCTTTCTGATACTGATCTTCAAGTGGTCGGGTTTTATCTGCCAGCGAACGTGGCGCATCTGCTAGCTGACACGGCTGAAAACGGCTGATGACGTCGAGCGCTAGATTTAAAGGTGTCGTAATCCAGTTGTTGATCAGGGTGTTTTTCGGCGAAAAGACACTGGCAATACCTAGACTATTGGGTTAGCAAGCAGCACACAGTATTCTATATAGTTTGCGCCTACCAACGGTAGATTTGACTTGCGAATATGAATTGTTCGTTACCATCTGAGTTCTCTGCATGGAGCCAACCGTTGCACAAGATCTTTTGCAGAGCGTTTCTTAACTCTTCACTCCAATGTTGGAGTTTAGATTGATAGAGCCTATCACAAACAATCGCTTCTTTGAGAACACTGGCGATAGCAGGAACTTGTAAGATTTTCTGTGGAGGCAGACCCCTGGCGAACGGGAGGCGTCGGAGAAGTCTAAAAAAATCTATAGGATCATGGAAGAGAGCCTCCCTGATTGTTTGCCAATAGATAGGTTTGCAGAGTCGCACCATTAATTCGAGTTTCTATCGTGGACAGCATTAAGGTTAGTAAATAGATCGGCGAAGCATCGACTTCAGGATAAAGCTTACCGGTATATACTTTAGAAGTGTTACAAGGGATGTAATTAGCCCTGCATGTCCAGTGCTGGTTTTGAACAATCCTTGCTGCAAATCTTGGGTCAGAATGGGATCACAGTTTGGTATGAGATGTGGCGCATATCGTTGGGTAACTTCAATAGCTTCATCTTCCTTCAGTAACAAGCCAACAGGTCTCCAAGGTGTTAGAATATTGACATTAGGCCTGAGCGCTATCTGCTGTTCCTCAGCAAAAATCATGGGTATCGCCATATGTTTCTGCTCGAAACCTGAAAACCCCCTAGTTGAAGAGCCATAAGATGTGAAGAGGACAATATACGCTTGAGAGTCTTGTTCGACAGCTTTGAAAAGCTCCGCCTATAGCGCAACGTCCCAATAAGACTGTTGGGCCTCGTCGATAAGGAGATACCCTTGGTGTGCCAACCAGTCGCGGCCATGGACACCAGTTTGTTCTTTGAGATAACCAGCCCAGCCCGATGCACTCTTAACCTCATCTTTCTCCCAACCAGACAAGGCGTAAAGAGGTGTCTCCGGGTAACGTGCGATTAACCTATTAGCTAATAGGTGCACGATAGTTGTCTTACCCGAAGCAGGCGTCCCCCTCACTCAGACAATATGAAAGGATCGCAGTCGAGCGATGAGCTCGTCGACGAAACCATCCCGGCAAATAACGTGTGGTGCAATAGCTGTAAAAATCAGCACTCATCTTGCCAGGTTGTTTGACGGGAATTAGATACCTATGGGTCGAGTGATCTGTGACGGTGGATCATGAGAACTGGAGGAAGATGGAGTAGCTATAGCGCAAAATTAGCTGGAGAACATCACGAGTATGAGAAATTTACAGTAAGATAGGTGAAGGTTCATCGGATGCGAGCATTTTTCACATAGTGCATGATCAGTCACATCCCCAAGACGCGAAAAGCAGGACCCCGAGAGGCAAAGGCACTGTAAAAATCCATCTTGCCATGTACATGGCCCCATAGTGAAAGTAATTTGTGATTGTTGATAGTGGTATTATTGTTGATAGTGGTACACAGTGATGGCGGTGGTGTTGATGTTCTGCAAGGAGACTGCAAGGAAGGGATGATCGGGGATTGAGGCTCAGATGAGGGAAGTACAGGGGGGTTGGCCATTGAGTGAGCAATGGAATTTCTTGAGTTGCTACTTTTCCTTGGTGTCATTTTGAGAAGTCAAGGACCATGTCAGAGCCAAAAAAGCAAAAAACACGACAACAGTATTCTGATCCGAAACAAAATAGTCTTCCAGTCAGAGAGGCAACAGTGGTGAGATGGAGGAGAATGGCAATGTGGCTTGTTCGCGGTGACGCTGTTTATAGCACGTGAGGACGTAGTGATGACATCTGCTTAGGTCTCGGACTAGATTTTTTTAGGTATTTAAAGTTATAATAGACTGTCTACGTTCCGCTGGACATTCTTATGACTCACTCCCTACTACTGTGATGGTGAATTGACACCCACAGACGCCATTTCCAGCGTCCCGCTGATCAATTCATTGTAAAGGCAGGTAGGAGGGAGTCCTCTTAAGGCGACTTTCCTTTTAACTATGGAAGGAAGGTGACCGCCGCCGGTGCTATTTTCTATGCTGATATCGTTCCTTTATCCAGCTAGCAGGAGTTAAGGCTAGATAGGTACAGAGTAAAACTAATCAAGTTCAACTCTGCGGCGTGGAAAGGGCACACTTTTCAAATCAAAGCCCACACACGACCAGTCTTTCCATCGTTACCCACAGTTACTCCGTACATTGTTTTAGCTAAGCAGGCAGGAGGATTGAGATGCTATTGATATTATTTACAGAAAATTCATTCTACCATGCTCAAAAGTTGCACTCTATGCCCGGTCGAGTCGCTACACAGTCTCGATGTACCGTTTGAATTCCCTAGGCACGTTAGCAGATCTCCCAACACAGGGACTCCGATCAAACTCACCAATCCGTCACGGCTTCTCTCCACAGTCGCAATTCATGCTCGCGCGTGGCGGTAAAGAAGTCGACAAATTCGTCTTCCAGAATCTCGCGCGCCACGCTGTTTGCCGCGCTGAACCGCTGGATCGCCGCCTCTAACGTGTTCGGCAACAATTCCGGCCGGGGATCATCCGGCTTCAGCGCCGACACGGGCGGGACTGTGAGCTCCAGCTTCTTTTGCACGCCCCGCCAGCCTGCGGCCAGAATGACGCTCAGTGCATAGTGAGGGTGCAGGTCCGCGCCGGGAATGCGCACCTCGAACCGCGTGGCGCCGGACTTGCACACTGGCGGCGTGATAATCCGGACGGACGCCATTCGGTCTTCGAGACCCCAGGTGATATTCACGGGAGCCCAGAAGTTCTCTACCAGGCGTTTATAGGAATTGATCGTAGGCGCAAATAGCGGCATAATGTCCGGTAGGGCCTCGAGGATACCCGCGAGGAATTGACGACCCAGGTCCGACAGTCCGGCTGCATCGGGCCACGGGGCGTTGGGGTCTTGCGTTTCCCGGGCGAAGAGGTTCTTTCCGTTGAGGTCGCAGAGCGAGATGTGGATGTGTCCGGAGCTGCCGGGTTGGCCTTGAATGGGCTTTGCCATGAAACAGGGCGTGACCCCGTAGTCCACTCCTACCGATTTCGCCAGGAGCCTAAGTCGTTAGTTGCTGCGTTGCCGTTAAAACCGGAAGGACATACTTGAATAGGGAGACTTTGTCGGCCATCTCCGCGACATCGCATACTTTGAGGGCCTGATAAATGAGTAATTATCTCACGAACGATGTGATTCAGGCTTACCGCTTCATATACACCCGGTCCGCCCTCGGTGTGCCACCCCTCAATTCCACAGTTGAACTGAGCGCTCGTGTTGAAGATGTCATAGAAATACTTCTTGTGCGCGACCGGTCGTGTTGAGCTGTACGAAAAGCTCCCCGCGGTCAAGGGACGAAGCGCACCAGGGGCGTTTTTCTCGAGAAAAGCAGCGATATCATGCGTCAGGCCATGCGCACTGTATCCGTCCTGTGAAGGAGTCTGGAAATTCATAAACTCCAGCTCGACTATTGCCCATTAGCGATTTCGTACCCCAACGAAGATCGCGATGATGATAACATACCACCAGCCATACCCTGACAGTTCGATGCCGCCAGCTTGTCGCAGATGCTCTTCAACATACTCCGACCGTCCGCCGACACGGGCTTCTCATTTTGCACGAACCACACCAAGAAGAATGGAATATCCTCCTCCCACGGTATGCGTCGGAAGGTGCTCAGGTCCGGTACTGCGAGAAAATCCACATATCCGGACTCCGGGGGTGCAATATTCGCGTCGGTCGTATACAGCATGTCCTGCATGTCCCAGCCAAAGACCGCGGAACTGAACCCAAACCCCTTCTGCGCAATGCCCAGGAACTTCTCCTTGGACATCACCTTGCCGCGCAGGATGCCGTCGCAGTCCACGCCAGCGACCTTGACCTTGATGTCATCGGCCAGGATGCTCGGCAGCTCCTCGACGGTGATATTTTGCAATGTCATTGTGATTATGATTCTGAGAAAACTACTCAATTAGAGATGGGGAGAAGGAAAGAGCGAGTTCGGTCAAGATAACGCTTTAAAGATGCCGAGGTGGATCGCAGCTAACCATGCTGCGACGGAGATCGTCATCGCGATACCAAAACTAGACACCTTCGTCTATTCCTCGGAGAACGACGCGCTGCGATGGAGCTGATGAAGCAAATGGGGGTGTTTACCGCGTTGGAGAAGGGGAGCGCGCTGCGGGGAAGGGAAAAGACCGCGCTTATCGATAAGGTAGTAAGCTCCGATAAGGATTACCGCCGGGGGGGGTTCTGAGTAAACGCTTCTCATAGTTAACTAATGGGCTTACTCTGTGCCATTGGAGATCTTTGGAAGTCAACAGACACAAATCCTCAATCGCTGAATATTCTATGCAGTAAAAATGACGCGAATTGCCATTCTCGAATGTGACACCCCCATTGACCCCGTCAAAGATCGCTATGGCACCTACGGCGACATGTTCAAGAGGCTCCTCAACACCTCACTTGCTTCACTTGGGAGTACGAACACCACACTCGAAGTGACCAAATGGAACGTGGTAGAAGACTCGGTGTTCCCTGACCCAGAGGACTTTGACGCACTTCTATTGACCGGAAGCAGTGAGTCAGTCCTCGCCCCGATCCGGATGAATGTCACTGACAGCATACCTAGAACACGATGCTTTTTCAGATGCGTCATGGATAGTCGAATTAACGAACTACGTTGAACGAATCCATCAACACAAGAAACATATAATCGGGATCTGCTTTGGTCATCAAATCATCGCCCGAGCATTAGGTGCGCGAGTCGGTCGAAGTGATGCCGGATGGGAAGTATCAGTCGAACAGATCTCCCTGAGTGATGCGGGAAAGGGGCTCTTCTCCAGACATACCTTCGTACGTTATATAACCAGAAATCCCAGACAGCCTTACAGAAACCTAATACATATACTATCAGTCATTGCATCAAATGCACCGCGATATCGCCCATGAAATCCCCGCCGGATGCGTGAACCTCGGCTCGACGCCCATCTGTGAAGTGCAGGGGCTGTATATGCCAGGTCGCATTCTCACGGTCCAGGGACATCCGGAGTATGATGGGTTTGTGATTAGCAGTTTGTTGGAGGCTCGGTATAAGATGGGGATCTTTGATGAGGAGACTTTTCGCAGTGGGACCGAGAGAGCGGGAAAGCCGCATGATGGGGTGTTGTTTGGGGAGGCTGTGTGGAGGTTTCTGTTATCTTGAGAGGTTGGTGTCTCTTTTATACATCAATACATGTGAAAGCACTTGAGCTCAAATAAAAATGATTACATCCATCCAAGTGATCAAATACCACAGAAATCCGACCAGATACTCGGTCTCGTAAAGCTGGGAAGAAGGACCATGAACGGGCCGACCAGTACATACAGAACATGAAGAAGGGCACTCTGTGACATATGAAAAAATAAAGGATTAAATATATCACCCACAGCAGGAAGTCTCGCATCGCAACCAAATATACTGCAGTAACCCGGCACACGACTCGGCAACGGCCCGATCATGCCATGCTGCCGTTTACCACAAGAGAACCGGTTTTAGTGCTCATTCAACCGCATACACCATATTCATGTCGGGCTGCTACGGATACCGAGCAATTTTTGTGGACATTCCATGTATCCCGAGTCCATCAAGAAGTGGGAGCATTAGACGACCCGACAACCAAGGAACCAGTCAGGAGGAACAACTCCGTGGAGGAAGGCCTCCGCAGACCCAAAAAATCCCCCGGCATGGAGCCGAGAGTGACGACACCGGCGACACACGAGGCCAGTGAACTGGTTCGGCGTCGAGTTGGGAACCACATGGTGCTGGTATTGCGGGTCTTCCACTTCTCGGCAAAGGGCTTTGGCGGGAAGCTCGGGGTATCTGATACCGAGAGGAAATGGTTCAAAACCAGGAATGAGCATGACGATTGCCCTTGGAACTGGATTGTAGGAGACGTGCTGTCGGCCGGCACAGGAGAGGATTTAAATGTAAGATCCCGGCCAAGAGATTGTATAGTTCTCGTAGCACTAGTTTTGCAGAAATGAGAGTATATTCTCTGCCACTCCTGGCGACCGCCGCTGTGGCGGTCCTGTATGCCGACTACATTCTAGCTCCCTCTTCAAGAACTCTCACTCCCCCTACGATCTATCAAACGGAGGGCTCTGTGTCGCACGCACCCTCGTTACTGCACAAAAACAGCACGACCCCAACAACCTTTCACGGAAAATCCTCCGTCACTTTCGATTTCGAAAAGAACATCGCCGGACTCGTCTCCCTTAATGTCGCAAACGCCTCCACATCCGACGCTTATCTCGGCGTCACCTTCTCAGAGTCTAGCCTCTACGTGAGCAGCGAAGCCTGTGATGCCACTGCCGATGCCGGCCTCGACAGCCCTCTCTGGTTCAACGTCGGCTCGGGGTCCGGTGAGTACACGGCGGAGGAAATGCATGTCCGAGGCGGATTCCGATACATGACGATCGTGAGCAACACGACGGCAGACATTTCTCTGAACAGCGTGACGGTCAACTTCACCGCCGCGCCGAAACAGGATCTCACGGCGTATACAGGGTACTTCCACTGCGACGACGAACTGCTCAATCGGATCTGGTACGCCGGCGCGTACACCAACCAGCTCTGCACGATTGAACCGGAGATGGGCAACGCGCTCGTCTGGTTTCAAATCATCAACAAGACAGAGACCATCGAGCTGCCCGAGACGGTCTCCTGGTGGAACAACTACACCATCTCCAATGGGTCCAGCGTTCTCACGGACGGCGCGAAACGGGATCGTCTCGTCTGGCCCGGAGATATGTCCGTGCAGCTGGAAGTGGTGGGCGTCAGTACATATGATCTGTATAGCATGCGCAACGCGCTCGAGCGGCTGCTTGTGCTGCAGAAGGATGACGGACGACTTCCGTATGCCAGCCCGCCGTATGCCGATACAGTCAGCTTCACGTATCACTGCCAGAGTCTCATCGGGATTTACTTCTACTACCTGTACTCGGGCGACCGGGCGTGGTTGGCGCGTCATTGGGACCAGTTCAAGCTCGGGGTTGACTGGGCCCTGGGAAGCGTTGACGATACCGGCCTGGCGAATATCACAGCCAGCTCTGACTGGCTGCGATTTGGAATGGGTGGACATGTACGTCTTTCCCTCTCTCCCATCTGCCTGCCTCCGAACTGGCATACATACTAACCCGTCCCCTATCAACAGAACATCGAAGCAAACGCCATCCTCTCCTACACCCTCCAACAAGGCCTAATCCTATCCACACTCCTCAATGACACAAACCCCGTCCAAAACTGGACCCGAACCGCCTCTCACATCAAAACGTCCGCGAACTCCCTCCTTTGGGACGCTTCCGCAGGCCTCTACCGCGACAACCAAACCACAACCCTTCACCCCCAAGACGGCAATGTGTGGGCCATCAAAGCCAACCTAACCAACTCGACGCACCAAACACGCCAACTCACCCGCTCGCTCCGGTCCCGCTGGGGTAAATACGGCGCCCCAGCCCCGGAAGCCGGCGCAACCGTGTCCCCCTTCATCAGCAGCCTAGAACTGCAGGCACATTTCCTCGCCAACGACGCACAGTCGGCGCTCGACCTCATGCGCCTCGAATGGGGCTTCATGCTGGATGATCCGCGCATGACGAACTCGACCTTCATCGAGGGGTACAGTGTCAATGGATCCTTGCATTACGAGCCGTACGCGAATGATCCGCGCGTGTCGCATGCGCATGGGTGGGCGACGGGACCGACGAGTGCGTTGACGCACTATGCGGCTGGGTTGAGGATCACGAAGGAGGCGGGTGCGGAGTGGGTGGTTGCGCCGCAGCCGGGGGATTTGAGGAATGTGGATGCCGGGTTTGAGACGGTGAAGGGGAAGTTTGGGGTGAGGTTTGAGAGGGAGGGGAATGGTACTAGTAGTGCGTATCGGAGGTTCGAGTTTAAGACGCCGGTGGGCACGTCGGGTGTGGTGAAGTTACCGGGCGTGCACGGGTCGTTGGTCAGTGTCAATGGGACAGTGGTGAAGCTGAGGAATGGGGAGGCGAGTGGGTTGAAGGGAGGAAGTTGGAGATTGGTTGGTGATGCTTGAGGGAATGAATGACTTCCAAGAACTACCTATTAGATGCTGATATCTGTCTACAATGAATCAACAGAATCAGAGTCTTCCTGCAGCAGTACGTTAGATTCTAGATACGTGATGATTTGTCCAAAAGCTATAATAATTAATTATATGGTATATATAGACCGTCCGTCTGTCAGTCAGTGTTATTTATTCTCTTCTACTAAGCCCATAGGGGGGTTAAATAAAAACAAAAAAATAATGGCCCGAGCCGCGGATCGAACGCGGGACCTCTCGCAGATGTGCTTGGGTTAATAGGCCCTAAAAGGGACACCCTAAGCGAGAATCATACCACTAGACCACCCGGGCTATTGAATATTTCTGTCGAAAATATGTTGACTACAGAAGAAAATGCTACAAGCCTTGATAATCTATGCCGATGATAATTGCACTGAAGGTAGTTGACTAGATAAGAGTATGGTCTTTTCAACCAGGTTTAAGATATTTCAGGCGGCTGTCTCTAAGAATCCGCCAAATCTTCGCTAAAGGTAAGTTCAGAAGATTATCGTACAAAGCTGGGCATTCCATAAATGAAGCGGAAAACTCCATGATATCGGCCATGAAGTTCACCTGAATATGGAGATAAAGGGGCCTACTTTGACCCCTAGGTAGTTGATCATCGCAAGAATACATCTTCATCAATTCAATCAAGTTTTTGACCACTTCGACAGCCTACCCCTGGCATCCAATATTCCTACAACTTTGTACTAAACTACCGCGGTAGGTAGAGCCTCTACTGCATCCACGCAACACATACCAAGAGATTGGAAGAGAGAGAGAGAAGAAAAAATCATTACAATGTTGGATTTGCCCGGGGCCGTTCTCCATGGTTCTAGCCTGCCGGTGTCGATTTACCGGCATGAAGTTCGTATATATCTAGACTCATGAGGGCATAGAGTGTAGGTCGGGTAAGATATATTTCGATCAACTATGTGACAGGGTGCGCAACCAAGGGTAACTGGCCTCTCCTGCTAGTAATACTATGATATACTTAACTAACTACATCCATGCGCAGAGCAAAATTCATGGCTGACAGCATTGAGACAGCCAGGACTCTTGATTGTTTGATGGGAGGGCCTACACTCGGCATGATTTTCAGTGAAGGCATGGATACCAAGGCCTATAGGCTTTTTGTTTTGTAGTCAACATTTTTTTGACAGAAGCATTCAATAGCCCGGGTGGTCTAGTGGTATGATTCTCGCTTAGGGTGTCCCTTTTAGGGCCTATTAACCCAAGCACATCTGCGAGAGGTCCCGCGTTCGATCCGCGGCTCGGGCCATTATTTTTTGTTTTTGTTTTTTTATTTTGAAGATTTCAGGATATTCATCATCATCATCAGGTCTTTCTTTCCACCTCTTCTTTTGTTTTATTTATTTCCTAGGCCAGGTAGTAGAACATAGAAAACAATAAATAGGCAGTGTAATACTGGTCTGTCCAGTACCCACCCCCACGCTACCACAGTTTTTCCCGAGCAATAAAGAGGTAAATCCTCGCTTCGGAAGCTTAGTTGGTAGCAATTAATTAGAAATGGTTACGGAGGAGTACTCCGTAGAAAACGCCGTCTTTAATCCCACCCCACTCCCTCTCCAATTCGTTTCCATCTACTCCTCCCTCTCCTAATTCTGCCATCCCACCATATAATCAATCCCAATGGACTTCTCCCTCCAATCCCATGCCTCCTTCATTGGTCGCTCAATCAATGACCTCCCCACCCCGGCCCTCCTCATCAGCAAACCCATCCTAGAGCGAAACATCAAACAATTACTACAAGATGTCCAGGACCTTGATATTGCCTTTCGACCGCATGTTAAAACCCTAAAGGTATGGTCAATTATTTTCAATCACCTTCCATTTCGATATGAGGTAGATGACGAAGTGAAACCAGTCCATCGAAGTCACGCGCAAAATGCTCGCGAACGGCCTGCACCGGAAGATCGTGGCGTCCACGGTGTGCGAGATCCGGGGGTCGATTCCGTTGGTGAAAGAGGGGATTTTAGATGAGGTATGCTCTTCTTCTACCTATCTTAGGGACTACTTTCCTACGACTAGGTTACCTAGCTACCTAGTTAGTCAATCTACTAACTATTTGCTAACTGTAAACCCGGATAGTGCCTCTACGGCATCCCCATCTATCCCAGCGTCCTGCCCCAATTGGCAGAATTGGCAAAGTCAATCAAGATCTCACTTATGCTTGACAACGAACAGCACGTTGATGTTCTGGAGCAATATGCCCGCAGCTCTGGGACCGCAGCTTTATGGCCCGTTTTCATCAAAGTGGATGTCGGATCGCGGCGCGCAGGTGTGGAGATGACGTCCTCGGCGCTGGAGCGATTAGTGGCGCGAGTTGAGGCGTCAAGCGCAGCTTCTCTGGAGGGGTTCTATTGTCACGGCGGCCACTCGTATGGATGTCGGACGCGCGACGAGGCTGTGGAGGTCCTTCGGGCGGAGATGGATGGTGTGGTGTCCGCGTCTAGATATTTGAATCTGGAGCGGGATAGTACTAGGAAGGTGGTTGTTTCGATTGGGTCTACGCCGACGGCTCATGTCGTGAAGGCTTTGAGGGAGGAGTTGCCCGGGAATTTGGAGTTGGAGCTACATGCTGGTTAGTGGTTATGGTTTCTTCTGAGAGCTGATTGGGGTTGGAATGTGAGGCTAACGTCCGAACTAGGTAATTATCCTGCGCATGATCTCCAGCAGGTGTCCACTGGACTGGTGGGAGAGTCGGAGCAGGCTGTCCGCGTCTTGGCCGAGGTGTGCAGTGTGTATCCAGAACGTAACGAGGCGCTCGTCAATGCGGGTACCGTTGCGCTGTCTAAAGAGACGAGTGCCATGCCGGGATTTGGATACGTTGCTGGTCGGCCGGATTGGTCCGTTGTGAGGATGTCGCAGGAGCATGGGATTCTCGGATTAGGTGGTTCGAAGGCGCAGAAGAAGGCGGAAGACGTGTTTCGAGTCGGGGATAAAGTGACGTTGTATTGTCAGCATTCGTGCATTACTGCTGCGGCATTCCATGTTTACTACGTGGTGGATGAAGAGGATATAGTCCGAGAGACCTGGGTGCCGTGGAAGGGGTGGTGATTGGGATTACACTGTACAGCATCGAAGATAGAACAGATCAGAATTGAAAGAACAAAACTATATACAGCTAACCAAAATTTGAACTCCCGCCTAAACAGAAAACGCAACTTAGATAAGAAACAACAAAATGCTGGGTATTCATCATCAGCCAATTAATCATCCTCATCCTGAACATCTTCCACAGAGGCAGTGCCCTTATTTTCATCCGCGTGTCCATTCTGACCATCTCCATTCTGACCGTCCTCGGCCTCTTCGCCCTCAGCTTCAGTATCTAGCTGCGGCCAAGCTTGACGCGACTCCTGCTGCACCGCCTTGCCCTTCCCCTTGGGCTCCTTCAACGGCGTATCCAACTCACTCTTGCCCTCAGCGCCGGACTCCTCGACCGCCGGGGTCTGCGGCTCGCCGTCCTTCCCCTTGGCCTTGGCCCGCGCCCTGCGAATCAACCGATTATGGAAGTCCTTGCCGTCAATCTCTGGATCTTCCTGCAGCATTCGTCGCGCCGCTTCCCGGCCCACGACGGGCAACCGATCCACGGACGGCGACGCGCCCTGCGGGACAAGTTTCGGATCCAGCAAGCCCACCTGCACCAGCACGCTGGCCTGGTCCCAATACACGTGCTCAGAGTAGAGCTTGCCGGCGCAGAGACTCACGATGCTGACAATCACGATCTCCACGCGCTTGTTGGTGGGCGGCACCCCGGGCAACATCCAGGGAATCTCGTGCGTGTGCTCGAATGCCACGAAGAGCTCGTCCACGACGCGATCGGTGCCTTGCGTGCGAGAAATCAAGCGCAGACGCATCGATGGCGGTAGCTTTTGCAGGAAGTGGTGCTCGTAGAAGCGGCGCAGGGCGTGGGTGCCGATTCCACCGCTTACAGTGGGCGTGTAGGTCACCGTGGGAGCGGATTTGTTGGTATACGCAGCCATTGTGTCGGAGAGGTTCATGGAGAAGAATTTCGCTGGTGAACTGTCGTTAGTATTTGCAGCGTTATACCCTTTCGGCCAGTAGACGTCGAAGACAGGGAAGCATACCTTCCAAGTGTTCCTCCCATTTCTCCTCAATGTCTGGATCCTTGCCGAATCCCTTCCTCAGGATCTGCAGCGTGCGACTCCAGGCCAACTCGCTAGCCAGCCGATCATACTCGTCCAGGTCCGTCTCGGCGAATCCCGGCTGCGCGTGCTTGTACGTATACGCCAGGTGGCCGATGTTCAGGCGCTCGCCGGTGCCAATGCCGGGGTTGATCTGTCGCGTCGTCGTCCGTCTCTTGCCCTGCACACCCAGCATGGTCGGGGTGGTCGTGACGTCGACCGTGCTGCCGGCCAGATGCGTCATGACGCGCAGCGTCGGAGGGAAGCGCATCCGCGGGTCGGGGATGTTGGTCGGGTAGTATGCGACGAGCGCGCAGAGACGACTCGAGGTGGTGGGTTTGATGTAGTAGTCCAGACAGAAGGAGGCGGCGTCGCCGAACGCTGCGGGAGTGTGTTAACATACAGCTCCTCCTGTCTCCAACTACCTTCTCCAATGGTAGGTCAACTCACCAACAATGGCATAGTTCTCCCCGACTCCCAACCCCTCCTTCACGGACTTCAATCGCAGGATGTAGTCCTTTCCTCCGCCGTTAAACGGCACGTACTGCACATCGAGGCCCTCATCCTGCCAGCGGCGTAACAAGGAGGTGTCGAAATCCGGCGTCTCAGCCGTCACGCACAACCGAGCCGTATTATGGCCGGAATTATAGAGAAAGCCACTCGCGCCGGGGGCAGAAATGGAAATGGTGGCCATCGTAGGATGTGCTTTTTGCGCTTTGCTATATAGGTGTAATTAGATTAGAACCAAGTCGATTATATTAAGTTATCGGAAGACACATTAAGAAATCGGCACATCCGACCCTGAAAAGAGAGAAGAAAGAGAAAGAGCAAAAGAAATTGGCAGGGAAGAAGTCGCAAAGTTGGTGGCAGATCGGCCGGACTTGACTTGGAGTGCATGCACGGGGATACGTCATTGTCCTTGTCACTCGGCGCCACTACGTCATCGCTGCAGCAAGGCCGGGCATCATCTGATGGGGCTGATTTATATTAATTAACGGGAAGGTTGGTCAGTACTTTTCATTTCCGTCCATTAGCTCGAGAAAGATTTGTTGATCTGTTTCCAGTTGTCATTGTGGTTCCATGGTTCGGGTGCTGTCGTGCCTGGTATTGACGTTGCTATATTTACTGGATGGGGCTATCCACGGCTGACACTGGTCGGTGCCTCGATTTTGCTACATGAGGCAAATTTGTTCTAAAGCTCCCCAATATTTTATTGATTAACTCATGTATTCAATGGAGACCTAAGCATCCACCATTATTTATCTGTTTTCATACATCTTTCTGTCTATATAAGATTTGACACCTGCCCCACAGTGATAGGAGACAAATATGTTTAGTACAGTTGAAAAGTTTAACATACTTCTTACTATTTGTCAAGGTCTGTAGATCGTGTCGAACTTCCGCGACGGCAGCACCGAATTCTTCTTTGGCTTTCTCTTCCTTGTGCAAATCATCTCGTCGTCTGACCTCTCTCCTGAGTTTGGCGAGCTCTTTCACAAGTTTGGCAGCGTTCAAATCCTCGCTCTCCGTCGAGTCGTCCGAAGTTACTGCGTCACGTTGGGCTACTGGCCTGTCTTAGTTTTCCTCCTCTGTTGGGGGCGCGTATTTCTCTGCTCGGTATCTTTCTCCTGCGCTCGAGTATAGTTGTTAGGTGGTCTGGTGGTGCGTTTCGGTCTCGACAATCGTGGTAGTGAGTTTTCGTGTTCGTCGCGCTCGGGGGCTCGGGGGTTCCCGTCACGGCCCGTCCTGACATTCTGGCTCAGTTGACGTCGCGCGTCGAGTTCATAAAATAGTTCTCCAGATATTGCTATAAGGGGAAACTATCAGGAAATTATCTCGCCCCTCGGAAACAATTTGTCCCGGATATATCTTTAGTCCATATAGTACTATTAGAAATCAAGTTTTACCTCAAAAATCTCTATGTTTCCTGGGACCCCACCTCGAGCACACTTGTCCAACTTGAGATTCCGCCAACCTTGCGCCTGTCGATATACCATTGATGAGCTAGTGTAAACTACACTAGTGATCCCCCCCCTGGTCAACCGAAGTTCCTTTGTGTTAATTATTGTTTCTATTGAATCTTCATGAATTTGGCCGCTCCAGAGGCTGAGAGGATCGTGATTTTGACAATTTTTTTCAACTATCTAATGAGCGTCTGTGTCTTCAGTTGATGAAAGACTCGAACTTGGAGCCAGGAAATAGCTATAATCTCCAGTTGATGAAGATAAAAATTTGCTAAGTCACCTTCCGGGTAACAACCGCCTAAAAGTTGCTATCAGTGAACGGATATCCTTGCCGGTTCAACCCAAGCCAACTATGATGAGAAACAACGTCGTAGCTTGAAGAAGCCCATTTAATCCTCGTGAGGGCATATAGAAGCCACTCTGCTAGGGCGAGCAGGCGGCACCACAAAACGCGACAATCCATTTCGAAGAAGGTGGGTAACACATCACAATGCTTCGAAATTCAAATTCAGCGCCTTTGTGGTGCCGCCTACTCGCCGTAGCAGAGGAGCATCCGTAGGCCCTCACGGGGAGTAACTAGAGTCCTATTAACAGAGCAGTCGCTCTGAACCTAATTTTCTTCAAAAATGGATAGAAAACGTTACCTGCGATGGGAAGATCACCCAGGCCAAGAGACGCCCAAAGCTTCCATGACTCCTTTGACAACTGTCGTCTTCTCTTCACTATCATTGAAGACAGCCCCGACGATAGCCTCAACTGTGGAGGCCATAGGGCCCGGGTAGATTGTGTTCCCCTGGGATCGATTGGCAAATACACATTCTGCTAGGCCTTTGGAGAAGCCTCGCTGCGCAAGATAGGCGTTGGATGATTTCTCCGATATAACATTGTTTATCTGACCTAGGAGAAACTCAGACAAATTCATCAGTGTCATGTTATCACTTACCACGGGTCGCATGTCGACAAAGGCCCTCCTTGACAAGGATCAACTTGATGACAGTATCACCAAGTAGAGCTAGATCTTTGTTCCCATTCGGGTGGATACTATCTGCTAGCTGTAATGCTCGTTGAAGTCCAAGCCGGTTCGTAAATCGATAAGCGATTATTTCCTCAGCCTTCGCGAGCTTTCGATTTTCAAAAGAAGTAGGCTGAAACATGATTGATTGCGACAGAGGTTGTAAGAGAAAAAGAGGGTGCGTAGAAGGATATTGTTCAGAAGGTTGCAAAGGAAAAGATCTCCTTTCTCACGTAGATGAAAGCTCGGGTGGGGCTGGGGTTTTCGGGTAACGTAATTCCCGGGTGAGCGGGGAACCCTGACGAGCGGGCCATCTAGTCCCAATAGACCCCATGCTATAGTAGCTGCACACCATGAGACGCTGATATAATCTCAGAACAAACAGAATGCAAATATTCATGTGACCTTGTAATCACATGCTCTGTGTGGCTAATTTATGACGATTAAATCATGCAATTCCGCCTTTTAATGACGATCCTGAAGCCTCTGAGATTGTATAAATATCGGCTTCTTTATCGTGTAATTAGAAGAATCAAGACCTTCATTCAGTTGAAAATGATCATATTTCTCGGCTGAATAATCGCTTCTCGGAAGATCCACAGTAATCTGCCACAATAGCTCTCTCGCAGCTAGGCTGCATCTTTAGGAATTCAAGCATCTTTCTCATCTTCATCGCACCGCGATCCTGACATCATATGAATGAGAGAGCAAGAATGAGGGAACATTCTAAAATCCAAAGTACAATCCAGCCCTAAGTTTCTAGTCAGGAAGCAAGGTCCCCCTATTATTAGGTTGAAAGAACCAGCTCCGTGAGTCGTACCCAATCAAAAGATCCTGCGCAGTAGTTCCTTAAGTAACCCGTCTGCTTTGGCCGCTTGCTTGGGGTATATCTTCTGCGTATCTTTGGTGTACTCCTTGAGCGCTGCGCGGTTAGGAAATCTTTGAACGATCGCTCCTGTACGGCGAGAGTCGATCAGGTCGAATATGTTGACGTGCACTTTAGCAAGAGCCTTTATTGTTGAGTTTGTTAGACAGTTTATAATTAGAGATAAGGAGAAACATACCTTTCGACACTGTGTGACGCTAGTCAAAGGCCCCTCGACCCGCAACTCTTGACAAAGAGCTCGGTAGTTTTGAAGTCTGTTGCCAATATCATAAAAATGTCCAAACTCAGTGCTTGCGAATTTGGCCAGTTCTTTTCTGTATCTTTTAGAACCAGTAGTCCAATTCATATGATGTGCTAGACGAGAAAATTCCTCAGTTGCAGAGAGACACGGGTTAGGCTGGAAGTCTGGAAAACGAGAGAAGAAAGCATCCTCCATTTCTTCATAATGGATGGATGGATGGATTTCATTTACGCTGACCCCTCGCCGAGCGATATGCAGCCTACCACAACTATATATCAAGGTACGTACATGTATCTTGTATCACTTCTTAGACGAACTTAGAGCCTCGTTGGAGCCTGCTGTCACCTCCTGGAGCCAGGGAACTTCCCGGTGCGGAGGAACGTTCCGGTTAGTTAGTATAGGATCGAGAGACCCTCCGGTAGGCATCCAGGAACCTTCCTGGATGTCCAGCCCGCAGTATATAGAGGCCCTAGATCCTCCCTCCTAGATAACCTTTCTTCCCCATGGGAAAATTCCTTGACTACGAGTCATAAACAAACTTGTCTTTTACTAAGCTCCTTTGTGGACCGTCACAACCAGGACCATCTTTAGAGTTATCTTGCTTTATCTCCCACTTTCGTGCTTCCACTACGTATCAAGCAAGATAGTCTCCAGTGTTGAGATCTCGCAACAAACAACCATCATGGACCGACCGACTCACGTTATCGTCCCAGACGGCGAAGTTATAATAGTTCTACAAAATCCAAATGCTCCTTTTGCGGAACTAAGTGAAGCTCTGACCAGCGACAATTTTACGTATCTACTACCTGGACCAAGCGATAAAATCCAGAATCCGGCGGAAGGGATTGAAGCTTTGAGAAATGAGCCGAGGGATACGCAAAAAAATAGGATGGAAAAGAAGAAAGGATCTACTTCTGGCTGGTGTGCTGTTCACGATTCATCCGAACCTATTCACCTCCCAGTTGAAGAGTGTGCTCCTGAATGGCCCGCGGCCGAAGAACCCGTCGCAGAACCCGCTGAAGAGCCCGCTGAAGAGCCCGTCGACGAACCCGCCGAAGAACCAGAGGAAAACTGCTTCCGTATTCAAGTGTCCGCGAAGCATTTAATACTCGCCTCCTCAGCCTTTAAGAAAATACTCACTGGTGGTTGGAAAGAAAGCATTACTTATTTACAAGAAGGCTCAGTTGAAATCACTGCAGATAGCTGGGATCTCGACGCGCTCTTGCTTATGCTTCGTATAATACATTGTCAGTCCTATCAAATACCGCGGAAACTGACGCTTGAGATGCTCGCGAAAGTTGCTGTTTTGGCCGACTACTACGACTGCAGGGAGGCTGTAGACTTTTTCGCAGATACATGGATCAACGCTCTGGACGATATTATTCCCACAACATATTCTAGGGACTTGATTCTCTGGTTATGGGTTGCCTGGTATTTCCACCTCCCTGCCAAGTTTAAAGAAGCCACCTCAACTGCCATGTCATTGAGTAACGGCTGGATCGATAATCTCGGGCTCCCAATCCCCGATGACATCATTAGTATGGGCACTTAAATCCTCAGATATGCTTGACTACTAAATGAAAGCAGGATCGATGATGGATCAAAGACAGGGAGCGATCGCTGGTCTAGTTCTTCAACTCAACGAGACGCGCGATGAGCTCCAAAGCGGCAGCAAAGGGTGTGGCTTCGAATGCAGCTCAATTATGTATGGAGCTCTGACAAAAGAAATGGATCTGAACGCTCTGCTTTCGCCGAGACCTGTAGCTCCTTTCCTGGGTTTGAGCTACAGATCCCTCTTGCAAAGAGTGTTATCGTTCAAATCGCCGGCATGGAACGGTCCATATTATTCCAGATACCAGCACAAGTGTAATTACTCAACATTCGCACTGCTTTTTGGCGCGTTGAAATATACCATTGAAGGCCATGACCTGGATAGTTCTATCCATGTGTAGTTAGGGAACTGCCCAATTTCATCTTGTCGTTGAGAGTTTGTGGCCTGCCAGAATAAAGAGTATTCCTGTCCAACCAGTCGCTGGATGACGTCGCCGAGATATCCGCAACGGGGACGGACGCGACTTTAACTAATACAAAGGATCTGTTGGCTTTATGGAGCAGGTGCTCTCTTTTAGTTCTCACCAAACAAAAACTAACCTGTTCCAAAAGTCGGATGCGGGAAATCGGTTCTCTGTTCTACAGTTATACAAGATATCGAGGAATTCTGTAAGCCTGATTCATCAAGGAATTTTGCCTACTGGTACTTCCAGTTCAGCAATGATAAAACACAGAAGGTGTACAGCATGATCAGGTCTATATTGCGACAATTCATGCCACGAAAACTCCCTGCATCTATGGTCCAACTCTGGGAAGAGCATTGCCATCGGGGCAGTGAGCCACAACAGCAAAAACTGGCAGATATCCTCGACATTGTGTTGGAAACTTCTCAGGGCGGGTTTTTCCTTCTTCTCGATGCTCTGGACGAGTGCCCCTCGACAGATCATGACGAACGGAGCTCGCTCTTGCAATTCCTTGAGGAGCATTTGGGAAGACATCGAGCCAAAATTCACATTCTCGCCACGAGCCGACTAGAGCCAGATATACGCCCAAGGATGGAGCGATATCAAAGCGTGAGTCTGGAGACTGGATTGGAGGAAGATGTGGAAACTTTTGTTCGCGCTCAAGTTGTCCATGGCAAATTGTCAGAATGGGGTGAGTCAGTTAAAAAGCGGACCCTAGAGAAATTGCTTGATATTCCGGAACGGTATGTTCAACTGGGTGCGTTTGGCTGCTTTAGATCAGGATTAAATGTGGCCTTACTCATTCCTGGAGCTGCAACCGCCTCTGGTTTATGCATCGGAAATGGGATTGAAACCAACAGTCGAAACGTTCCACAGGGCGCCAGTCCTATGGAACCAGCTCTGTGTGGACCGCCCAACGCATTGGATATAGCCGCGATACGAGGCTACCTCGAGGTTCTGGAGTTGTTGCTGAATAAAATGGATGAGATACCTCTAAGAGTGACAGAAATCATTCTGGAGTCTATTCGTGTCATCGAGGCCGACAGGGACAATTTGGCAGTCATTTTGGACCTGCTTTGGGACAAGGGTGCTTTGCATGATCAATCAAGAGCATCGCACGCGATCATTGACAAGAGGCTAGTTGAAAGAGCAGCTAGCAATCTGGACTCGGGCCAGATACTCATGGAGCAGCTTCTGGATCGAAAAGAGAAAATGGGCGTCAAGATAACTGAAAACTTGTTATTGGCCGTGATTAGCAATCATGAGCACGGCGAAGAAATCATGGACTTGCTTTTCGATAAGTGTGACCCGGAGATACGTGAAGGAGCAAAGCTTTTGGGCAAATTGTTGGATGTAAGGAAGGGATCTGGTTCGCGCCTTGTATCAGATCAATTGTAAGCACAGTAAGTACGACTAGGCAGTCAGGCTTTGCATTATCCGATTCTTGATGATCTACTAGACTACATTCCATGTCAGAAAGATGGATTGTGCCGGTAGCCTAAATCGCATACCGTCTAGTCGAATGCACTAGGCAGTGCAGCACAGCAACTTGTTGCATCATGGGTGCAAATCCTGGACAGAGCAAGCTCGATAGCTTGATTGCCTCCGTTATGTTTCACACGATAAACATTCACTTCGGGCTCATCTGCCGGAAGTTTGTGTACCTGAGATTTCCTAGTATATGAAGATGAATATTCCATGAATCGAGCGGAATAACCCATGCAATGAGGCAATGAGTCATCTCAGTACTATGCCCATCTTTCCCCTGGGTAATATATAATGATCAAGTCGATCGAGCCAATCATTTGAGTCATTTCAGCTGCCTACTCCCTACCTCGATCTACTATCATCCAATCAGCCTTAGAACAAGATGCCCGGGAAAAGGATTTCCGCGAAAAGGCTGCGCAGGAGCCAGATGCCGGGGAACAAGATGCCCGAGACCGAACAGAAATGTCCGTTCTGTCCGAAGAAATACGTTGACAGAAAAGAGCTTATAGATCACTTAACGTCGTACACAGACATCGTGCGGCTTCCGGCCGATGGATACCACGATGTCTTCAAGATCCCGCCGGTAATTTACCGGCTTTGTGGTCAGACCTACCATCGGGATGAAGAATACAGATACCGATGCTGGACATGCTGCCAGGTCATCAAGGGGAGTCGGCAGTTTACAGTGCATGTTATGTTTCATGAGCACTGCGGATTCAAAATCGGTTTGAAATCGTCATGGATAAGCGGCAAACGCAGTAAGAGTCGTAAATGGACTCTTCCTTTCGACGAGGACACGGTTCTTCGTTATGATGGTCCGTTTGTGTTTCTTGATCTCCCACCTGGTATGTTGTCTCTTTCTGTCTGTCTCACTGCCATTAGCCATGCATACATGTTGATTGGGAGCATCCGACTAACCTGAGCGTATTGATTGAACCCAGAGTTGCGAATCATGGTGTACAGGTATCTTATCTGTTTCGAGGAAGTGAAATTTTCAGAAGATATCCCATACTGGAGAAAAACCAAACGTCGTCGAGATGGGCACTGGTGGCAATATAATCTCTACGACAATTTGCTGGCCATCACGGCCGTAAACCGTCAGATCTACCACGAAGCCCGACGGACATTCTACACGGAGAACAGGTTCTTATTTGAAAATTTCGAAGCCCTCCCTGTTTTTCTGGTCGGAATCGGAGTGCACAACACCAGGCTCTTGCGCTCCGTGTGCTGCAGGACCAAATCGGGACCGGTCAAAGACTACACCGATCTCATTCGGGCATGTGTGAACCAAGCGGCCACCATGGAGAGAAATACGGTAAATGAATATTACTTCGAGGCCCAGCTTGTTGAGGACCTGTATCTGAATCTCCCGGACCCAGACACCCTGAAACCTGCTTTCTTGCCGTATGATAGGTGGAGTGGTTATTATCGCCGGCTGCGTCCGGACAGTCCATCCGTCCCGGATTGCTCGTTTCGAATGCGTTTCGGGCTCAGGGCCACCGTGCGACAGAAGGGCAAAGGTGGAGTAAATGTCGATAAAAACTATCTGGTGGCATTTGAATTATGCAAGCAGAATATGCGAGTGAGGAGGCCTTGACTGAAAAGCAACCGTACAAGCGTTTCAATTAGTCGCATCAGATTGGCACATTGATTTCTCAGCATGGGCTTCTAACGTAGGTTCAAGTTGGACCTAGACGGTCTGTGTTCGTTAATACCTAGCCATAGCCATAGCAATAGCAATAGCCATTCACTCCATGACCTATGTTGTTGTATAAGCCAAGAACAAGTGGGACTCGTTTCGTGGATTCTATACAGGACCCGCGGCAGGAAAGCGCGATGGAGGGGGTAGGGAAGGCCGAGAAGAGCGCACTGCTTACGATGGTAAAGGGGATGCTGGTTTTAGGCCGAATGAAAGACTGACGGCAACGGAAATCGGTGGGTCGGAATAGATGCGGAGATGGGCTTTGCCAGCGCTCAGAAAAGTAGCTGCATAGAGATGCAATGTTTTTAAGGGAAGCAGATACAAATGTTAGAAAGAAAAAAATCATATTAGCACAGCTAACGCTACCTAACGCCGAATTCTAATACAGAAACCATGGGGATCATAAGAGGGGAGTAAGAAAGTAAGGTATAAAGATCAATAAATAAAAGCAAAAGATCGTCAATATGAATATCTCGTCACGTTGAGACATGGGGTAGTGTGCCTGTGTTGGCAGTTTCTCCCTGCTCTCTGGTGGGAGATAAGATGAGATCCCCATATAGATGGTGGATGCTGTGAGGTTCAAAGTGACATAGACGGGGTGTCTGGGCCACTGATTGGTGCTTTTTGCCAAGGGCGGGGCCCCTTGGGTCTGATGCAAGTGTACAAGGAAGTCGTGGAAGTGGTATAAAGACGGCTGATACAGGCAGACTAAACAGCCTGAGCCCGCCGCTTGCCAAAAAAAGTCGCGATTTTCTGGAAGAAGCCCGTTCCCGCAGGCTTCTCGGACTGGGGCTCGTCAAATCGGCTTCTCCATTTGGACATGGTGCTCCTAGTTTTGGTAGACCAGGCGGAATGTAGTCGAGAGTGCGGTCGTTTGGTCGCGGACTCGGGCTCAGTGCTCTGGGCCTGGGCCTGGGCGGTCTGGTTGAGGTCTGTGCATGATTGCATCTTCGCCATAACGGCTTGCTGAAGGTGCACGTTGCGCTGAGATTCCTCCTCGGCGCTCATCACGTGCATGTATCCGTTGCTGTCGATAATGATGCCGGCTTGCTGTTCGGGGGCTGGGACGGTGGTGGTGCCGAGGCCGACCATTGGCGTTGGATCTGTCTGCGTGGTGCACGAGCCGGCGGAGTGAGACCAGCTGCTGGGCTGGTTGTCTGATGCCCGCGCATCAGGCGAGGAGAGGTTCAGCAAGGTCTCAGGGGAAGAAAAGCTAGCCACGCCAGTGGCCATGAGCGTAGCATCCGGGTTGAGGAACACTTCGACGTCATCGGAGACATCTTCGACAGTGTCGAGGGACGGTGACTTGCTGTCGTCGGCGAGAAAGTTCCTCGTGTCCTGGTCTGGTGGTCCCTGGGTGTGGCCGATGGCCGCGACCCCGACCATGGATTGCATCTCCGGCTGCTTGGGACTGCTGACGGACGGGTGGCTGCTTCTTCTCTCCGTGGATGTCGGATCGGGAGGCGCAGAATACGACGTAGTGCATCGTTCCTGACCGGCAGGCGGGTTCGATCCTGCCCCTGAACCTGATGATTTGTCGGATTGAGAGGAGTGCAGCACCCGCATAGTCTGTCGACTGGGCTGCTGCGTCAACCCGACGCCCGAATCATGGATCCCGGCCAGGGCCGCTGCCTCAGGGCCAACATTAGGGCCTGAGTATTTGGACTCAATCTGTGGCTTGGTCGCAGACGATTTATTGGCCGATGTGACTGTGCTCTTCTCCGGGAGCGAACTCATTTGCTTGGTGGCCCGCGAGGGCACACCTCGCTCAACGCGATATACGAGCAGTGAGCAGGCATATCGAATATCTGCCTCCAGCTCACGAGAGATCTTTTGACGATCAATGAATGGCGAAGACAGACGGAAGAGAACGGGAGTATCAACAAAGTCATAGTAGCGAGGCGGTCCTTGCAGGATCGCGAAAGTAGGTTTCTACTCTGGTTAATCCACATGTGACCCAGACAATGGCGTCGTGAATATTTCTCACCTGTGAATGAAATAAGAATGAGAGGGATGCCCGCTTCCTCAAAGTCGAAGTTTTCTTGGAAAGAAGCAGCTCCATGACGTGTGATGGAGATAGTTGGGAGATTGAAGTGAGGGCGTGAAAGAGAGAAAGAAAGGCTTCCCAATAGGAGTGGCGATCAATGGGATCTGGGTCCAAATAATGAGCGGGTCACACTCGAGCTCTGTCCACTGGCCAACTTGAGGTATGTTTCTGGCATATGTTGGTTTCAGACGAACAATGCAACGCAGTTTAGAATCTTTACTGTCAGGAAGCCAGCTCCAACAGGCAAGATACAGTGGGAGACAGGAGGAAAGCCGAAAGGGCAGACAGAATGTGGTTTGTTTTGACTGTCACGGCTCAGGGTGACCGCAGCAATGGGCTGGAATGTGGGGGAGGCTTAAATCGAGAATGACGATGGAATGATCGAGGCCAAAACAAGAAATGTCGCCAAAGAAAGATGACTCGACTTGGTCAGTGACGACGGAGGCAGTCAAGAAGAGGCAGCAGGACCGTCATCAATGGGCAGTCGAATGCGACAGATGCATCTCCCAGGGGCTGACGAGAATCCCGCTCGTATTGTAAGGAGAGACACACAGAGGGACAAAGACGATGAGATGCAGCTGTGGTGGCCCAGTGGAGAAAGAGAGCGAATCACAGTCAGTGCTGGATGGGTGGAGGGTGGAGGGTGGAGGAGCCAAACGAGCGACGATGGAGAAGTGTGAATAGGGGCGCGAAAGGCCGACCAGCAGGGGGAGAAGGAGAAAAAGAAAAAGAAAAGAAAAGCCGGAAGAGACAGAGAAAAAAAAAAAAAAAAAAAAAAAAAAAACAAAAAAAGTCACACGGCGTCACGGGACACAGCAGGTTATTGACGGCCAGAACTTCCAGGCACCGGAGAATTTGCCAACTTGCTTCACTTTTCCCTGAACTGGTCCGAACGACCGACGAGAGATAACAATGAGGGATGAGGATCGGATTACCGTTTCCAGCCGGTGGAAACACCGTTCATGGCAACGATGATCGTGGATCAACGGTCAGTCTGGTGATCCCCAGCCAGGGTCAAGTCGTTGCTCCTCATCCCACCTCGAGACCAGTCAAGACTCCAATTCTCCATATGTATACACCCTACCCACGCTGCCAGATTTTAAAACCCTCGCGGCTGTTACAGCCTCCTCCCACCCAGGATGTGTCACTAAGTTTCAAATGTCTGACTTGATCGCAAGGGGACAGGGATGAATCAAGGGATGGAAAGCGGTTGGCAGAGTGATGCCCGACGTGATAGATCAGATCACCGATCACCCGCCCGCATACGAGAAGACCACCGGTGGACTCCCTGCTTTCCGGGGTAGTTCGATTAGGGCTGGCCATGTGGGGGATAAAAAGATCGACTCGTCGTTCTCGCCAATAAGGGCGCCTTCGACGTCATGGACGCCTCGCAACTGATATATAATCGACGGGGAAAGAGGCATACAAAAAGCGCGTGATATCATCTCGACGAGCCCAGGAACGCGGCACAAGCGTTGCAAATTTCAGGGATTTATTCTCCTCCCGTGTTACATAGCGGCATCCCGACGGCCAGTCAGGGAGTTGGCGAGGGCATCCACATCACACGACGCAGTTATGCAGCCACGCTGCATAGTATCTCAATCTGACCTCTCAGGGATTGTCGCTTTCCTGCATCCATATCCCCTCACCTTCGCGCCCGAATCCTGCAGGGTGATTTAATAACTGCCCCCTTTTCTGCTCCTGCCTTTACTCCGAGTAAAACCTGCTCTCCTTCTCGCCGCCTCTATGCGACTAAGCTGCAGGATGGAGTCAATTAATATACCCTTGTGCGTTCGGAGACATTGGCTGCCCTACCAAGCTACGTTAGTTCATGCATCTCGCAAAGTTTGGCCGCAAGGGTCGAGGTTGCGGTGGTTTCGTTGCTTTTCTACCACCGGGATTTCGACATTGGCGGTCGCGGGTGATCTGGTCGCCCGCTCGGTTAGGAATTACGTTAGTAGTCAAATTATCTTGATTGTTTGAAGTGCAATTAAAATAATAATATTAGCATAGGACTTCTCTCAGACCAAGGAAGGTCCGTCGGCATGATGATTCACTTTGAAGGATTGAACGCAGACAGATCATTTGCTGGCTACGCCCTCCGCAGCGTTGGTCCTACTCTACCGGTCCATGTACCACCTCTGTTAGAATGGACTGTGCCTTTCAATATTATACCGCATACTGCCGGTATGCATCCCTAAATTGAGGATGACGGTCAAAAAACCCCGGCTTCAAGCTCCAATTCCGCAGGTCCTTCAGCGACTGCACGAGCTGTTCCTCGCCTAGGGCCAGCCCGCCCGCGACACACGATAGCTTCGTTTCCAAGAACTCGCCAAGGTCAGCCATGATCGGGTGGATGGGGACCTTGTGGATATGGAAGTCGAGGATCAGTTGGTTGCGGAGCAGCGGCCTGGCACCGCTTTGATTAATAGATTTTTGGGGCGGCTGTGGCTTGAAGTGCACTAATCAGGGCATGAAGCTTATGAGTAAAGGGTGCGGTATCCGGAGTTCTAGGCCTGTTGAGCGGAGCCAACTTGGAACGTTGCTGTAGAATGATTTCTCTTGGTGCACGTACCACTAGAAAAGACGAGTCTAAGCAAACCGAAGGGGAATCCAAACATTGGAGAAGGGGTGGAACACCAAAACGCACCCGTATCAAGGTCGCAACTAGCCAGTATGACGCAAAATACTCTTCGTTCCGTCTGAGTCGGCGCATAGGCTCGAGGTAGTGTTTGAGCTCGAGCGAGAACTGATTCGCTGTGCTATCAAGTACGCAGTCGATAAGTTCTGGCTTGGGGATTTTGGTGTCGTTAATTACAGCCTGCCAGCGGGCACTATCAACCATTGCGTAGAGAAGCTCGTCGTCACGCAGTGTGGGAAATGGAATGTTTGGAATGTTCTTGTGCGGCGCCTGTGCGGAGGGCGATTCGGGATGGATATTATCAAGATCTGGCGTAGTTGGATCGTGCGTTTGTAGGAATCCATGAGCGTGAAGGAGCGCCGAGTCGCAATTGTCGGAGGGCAAGGGCGGTTTTGTATATCCAATATCTGGGAGGATCGTATGGTCCAGCTGCCCCAAGCGCTCCCATGCGGATCTGGAAAGCAAAGGAGAGTAGATATCGCTGGGATTGATGTTGTCTACGGGTGCAGGTGGGAGCTGTCTAGTGCTCGTTTGTGAAGTGTCGTGGGCATTCTCTATCACATCACTCTGTGAAAGCTGGATTAGCGGGTCAACAAAAGGAGCCGCTTCCACAGTTTCTCTTGAATCTTCAAAGCTCAACATCATTTTTGGCCCATTCCCTCGCGTATGTGCATCTCTGTACTGCTGCGATACGCCGTCCCCGGGCCCTGGTTTTTCCAGACTGTCGTCGTTTGCGGGATATGTAGCAGCTCCAACTTTTGGAAGCTCTATACTGATGACATCCGGAAACGAAGGGGCCGGTGACACTGGGTGACTTGACTCTGCTATCATCTTGAGTTGCGACATGGCGAGGTTGATCGACGAATGCAAACTCTTGCAGTTGTTTGAGCTGGTGGGTACCTCTTAACACATTTCTGTCACTACATCAAAGGGCATTTCCCATACCTCAGACTTGAGCCTCTCGTTCTCCGCTACCAAAGTAGCCACCGACTCCGATTGACTACCCTCCTTAATCAACTTGAGCTGGGCCTCAAGTTCATCAATGTATTCGCTTTGCCGCCTGCGATGTTCACGCTGGGCAAGGCGATCGGAGGCTCTTTTATTCTCTCTTCGGTCCTCTGCGGTGCTCAGCGGGGGCTCAGCCTGGGGGCTTTTCGCGGCTAAACGTCGCTGGCCCGGTGGTGCCGATGTCATTGTGGTCTCATTGACTTGCTACCGGGTAAGATGAATAAGAAACAAGAATTCTGATGATATCCTGCTGTGCGGTTCATGTAAACAGAGACGCTGCCTTGAGCCGAACGCGGGATGAGATCTAGACCTTCGAGCTCCTTATGGTCAGGGCGGGGAATATGGGGTATGTAGGGATATCAATTACGAAGATGCGCTAACACTGTACTACTCGGTCTACTACTACCGCACCAAGAAACGGGATGTCTGCCTAGCAACCAATGATTATACCCTGACTAGAGCTCCTGGGGCCAAAGCACATAAACCTCGCTCTACTAGTAGGCGAACGGCGGATGCCATGTCAACAGGGCGAGTCAGAATTACCCCAATCTTTTTGGGATTCTTCTCGTCAAACTCCTCGGCCAGGTAATTGTATCGCGCGAGAGTTCCACAATCTGCGCTTGAACTCGGGTTACTGATCGTAAGCTCGGGGTCGATTCCGGCTTGAGGCAGACTATCGTGGGCCGTCCAATTGTCCTCACTAACCATTCGAATAATTCGCATTGCGCGGACCAGGACGCGACGTCGCATGTGTAGCCAATTGCGCCAGGTCCGATCGTCTTCACGGCTTCATCGAGTTGGGCCTGATTTACGTCGGCGAGGATCACTCCTGCACCGTGATCCGCGAAGGCTTTTGCGATGGAGAACCCGACCCCTGACGGACCCCCAGTGATGAGCACTCGGGAACCGGTAAATTTGGGACCTTTAGGCGAGTCCTGTTTGCCAGTAGACGCCATAATGGATGATTAGAGCGAGAGTATAGAGCTCGCTCACGGAAACAAGAGGGGCTCATTCCCTACTTAGTCGGGTGTTCGATTGCCGGATGGAAAGCAGCCTCTCTCGCAGACTTGGGGCGCTGAACCACGAGCAAGGATGACGAACGTCGGGAGCCTGATGTTCAGAAGCTTCTTCTGTAGGTTTGCGGCCATGTTATCAATTAATCAATCTCAGCTGTTCATCACTGTTTGTGCCACCAACACCCCCAACCATATCCCGAACTTCCGACCAAAGATACCATGGAACAACCCACAGCAGCACGAGTCACGAACGGTCGCTGGAGCGATGAGCAGTCGCTGTACGGTAAACATCCCCTCCATGAAGCGGCTAAGAGACCTTTGAGAATATTGATCGTGGGCGCTGGGCCTCCTGGTATCGCACTCGCTATCAGGCTCAATTCAATGTCACACGTCACCTATCAAGTATTCGAAAAGAACTCCGATGTTGGTGGCACCTGGTTTGATAACCGCTAGCCCGGGGCTGCTTGCAATGTCTCGAGCCATGCGTACCAGTACACCTTTGCCCCGAATCCGAACTGGAGTCATCAGTAAGTGACATCCTCGCCACATCGCATGATAACCTATACGTGACCTGATACGAATTTGGTAGTTTCGCGCCGGCAGGAAATTGGAGAGTATTTCAAGAGCGTTGCAGCCGACTTCGATCTGTATAACCGGATGCAGTTCAATGCACAGGTGACGTCGGCAATCTGGGATAAGACGCAAGGAACGTGGTCGCTGGATGTGTTTGACTCCACAAATGGGACGCACTATACAGTAAAGGGGGACATATTCGTGAACGCAGGTGGCATCCTAAACGCCTGGAAATGGCCAGAGATTCCCGGCCTCGACACTTTCCAGGGGCCTTGCCTCCACACAGATTCATGGGTTTGTTCCTCGCCCAGCACAAAGAAAGCGAATTCTCGCTCTAACATCGCTCTAGGACCCTTCTGTTGATCTCGAAGGCAAGCGGATAGGGGTCATTGGCACCGGCGCAACTGGCGTCCAAGTCGTGCCACAACTCCAGAAGGTTGGGAGATCAGTGACTCTTTTCATGCGAACCCCAAGCTATATTCTCCCCAACGTGGGCTTTGGGATCGAGGCATCGACCTTTAACGAAGAATGCGAGTTACAGTCCTGCATATGAGAAAATGACTGGAATGCGAGAGAAGTACAGACAGCGAAGCACGGAAACAGAGTTTCCGAGACGACCCCGTCGCGTATAAACAATTCCGAAAGACAATTGAGCAGCAGATGAACGGGAATTTTAGTGCCAGTGTTAAGGGCTCCGCTGCTCAGAAAGCGGCTCGTAACGTGTGCTCCTTTTGCCCAGTACCCTCCCAAGATGATAGAGCTCTATCTAACCACTATACAGTGGGCAGAGAAGGCAATGCGGGGAGTAATTGCCTCGAAGGATCTACAAGATAAGCTCGTCCCTGAGTAAGTCGACCCCAATATGGCAGCTCGCAGCAGCGGCGTCTAATATCAATGGCCTGCAGCAGGGAACTCGGCTGTCGCCGTATAACACCAGGCCTCCCGTACCTAAAGGCCATTCAGGAGCAAAACGTTAAGATAGTTCGGTCGCCTATCAAATACATTTCTGAGAAAGGCATCCACACCAGTGATGATAATCTTCATCGTTTGGATGTCCTTGTTTGTGCCACTGATTTCGACACCTCTTTTCGTCCTTGCTATCCAATCATTGGACGGAACCAGGTCAATCTACGCGATCTTTGGAGAGAGCAGACACCGGAGGCTTACATGGGGTTGACAGTCTCTAGTTTCCCCAACTACTTCAGTAACGCGCGAGAACGGAAATGCGTGGTGTACTTCGCTAACACGCTCTAGCCGTCCTTGGCCCCAATTGTCCCATTGCGAACGGATCATTGATCGTATGCCTTGAGTGGAGGCGAGAGTAATCAGCCATGATACTAGGGGGTTATATCGAAACGCAATACCGCACTATGCCTCACAACGGACCGGCCCTGCAAATACCTGGTAAATCTAGACCTGGGTTGACAGACACCATCTTAAGAAGATATGATTGACATTTTAAGCAGATGCCAAACATACGAGTATCTGGTCGCTGCTCTTCGAAAATGAGAAGCATGGCGGCAGTGTTGCGTTCAGCGACTCCTCAACCGTAGGGCGAATCCCCGTCTCCACGGTGAAGCAATATGCCACGACCCTCTCCACTGCCCTGTATGGTACACACGACGTCAGGGCAGGCGATATTGTCTGCATTTTTTCCGAGAACTCAATATGGTACCCCGTTGCAGTGTTTGCAGTCCTTCGACTGGGTGCCATCGTCTCCCCGGCATCCCCGGCATCCCCGGGCTGTACGTCGCAGGAGGCAGCACATATCCTCAACACTGTACGGTCTAAAGTGACGACGGTCACCAACACATCGTTTCAAGCCGTGAATACCTGTTTGCAATTGCCCAAGACACCATGCATGGCACTGTTGGCGCTGACAGTGAACGAGGGAACAAAGCTTAATCTACCCAGTGTGCAAGGCCTCTCCACCATGCTCGCGCCACAGCGGCCAGTTGATCCCTGGGTCATAGGCCCTGTACAGTCGAGTCATGCTCTTCTATGCTTTACCTCTGGCACAACATCGCTACCTAAAGCCGTGAGTCTACCATTTTGTTTAAAACAGGCGGTTGACGCTGAATCGAGCGGTAGACGATGATATCGCATCAGAGCATCAGTGCGCAGCTTTACCAAGTGAGAGCATATACTCGAAGCGACCATCCTAAGATCGTCTTGGGAGTTTTGCCACTTTATCATAGTACGTTGCTGAAGCCCAGTGCAGCATATGATTCATTGACCGTCGCACTAGTCACTGGCGTCGTTCACCTACTACATCTCCCTTTGCTCCTCAACCAAGAAGTCGTCATCATGTCTCGATTCAGTCTATCCGCAATGCTCCAAACGGTTAGGACCTTCAATTTCGAAGAGCTGTGGCTCGTCCTACGTAGGTCTTCCTCTCCTCCCGTCTATCCTACGAAACCGCAGCCCAGCTGACCCCGCTGTAACACGCCAGCAATCCTAATACGCCTCATATCTGATCCATTAGTAAGACCCCGGGACCTCAAAAGCGTCCGACAATTCAATACTGGCGCTGCACCCCTGGGACGCGATACGATCCGCAAGCTAGCCGCGCAATACCCGCACGTCGCCATTCGACAGGCGTGGGGGATGACCGAGTCTTGCAGCTGTTTGACCCTTACGCCAAATGAACAACAGACATATGAGAATGCGCACACGGTGGGAAAGGTAGTTGCGGGGACTATTCTTAAGGTCGTCAGACCTGGGACGGATGAGGAGGTTGATGTGGGGAAGAGTGGCGAGGTATGCGAGCAGTAGCTGTACATCCGTCTTGTTGTGGGCACGGCTAACATGCTTGATTTATGTATAGATTCTTGCCAGGGGTCCGCAGGTGATGATGGGGTATTTTGATGGCATACAGGCCACGAACGCTGCACTTGGCCCGGACAGCTTTCTACGCACTGGAGATATCGGGTACGTGGACGATCGCGGCTGGGTACATATCGAGGATCGACTCAAAGAGATCATAAAAGTATGAGAATTCGCCCTTTCTAGTACGTTGGCCCTAGACTAAAATATCTTCCTGGTCAATGGCGTAGGCGTAGCACCAGCAGAGCTAGAAGATATTCTGATGAGCCACGAAGGTGTACATGATGCAGCAGAGGTAGGCATGGCGGACTCCTACTCAGGTCAAGTACCGAAAGCATATGTGGTCCTCAGGCCGAAATCCAAGCCTTCAGTGGAAAGGACAGGGATGATCCAGATGTATGTGAGGCAGAAATACTCGAAGCCAAAGTGGTTGCATGGGGGTATCGCTTTTGTTGACATGATTCCTAAAAGCAGCTCAGGGAAGATTCTGCGGCGGAAGCTTGGGGATATAGGTGTTATTCTCGATGTACGAGATATTGTTGATGTTATTCCTCGTCTTTAGGTGCTTTTTACCAGTTTACAGCTTGATATGAACTATCCCTGTGGTATACGGTGGTTTCTCGGCCTTTGACAAAGTCCTCACCCTCTCATAGCTGTTAAGGGGCAGCGGTTCTAAGCCAATGTCCCCTCGTAGTTTGGTATATCCTGGACCACATCAAGGCTATGGAAGCTGCGCTACAATATCCACTCAACCATAAGCTTGTTTCAAGCGACTGTCTAGATTGCTTTAGTTTTACGTAAGGAATACTCCTCGCGTACTCGTAGCTGAATCGGGTGGTTCTACTGACTCTAAAACTGACCGGTAGGTGCGAGTCAGAACGCCTTCTAGCGCAAACGAGCCCAAGTCATATTCCATGGGTGCAATGAAAACTTACCATGACATCAGTTTGTTCTATTTCAGTCTTCTGCAATCCACCATATCCAATTTATCTGTCCGTCTCTTTCACCATGGCTCAGACCGTCGAAGCCGCCGCTTCGATCAAAAACAACGAGCAGTGGATGGAAAACGTGAGCACCCGTGCTGAACTTGCCACTGAATACGCCTTATTCGAAAAGAATCTCTCTTTCCCGCAGACCTTGCGGATCTATTGGCGATCAATTGCATGGGTCCTCTATGGACTCGCCGTCGTCTTCGGCTACGGCATTGATGGCGTCGTGGCCTCTAATCTGATTTCAATCCCCGCATTCCGCGAGCGCTATGGCAAACCGTTTGACTCAAGTGGAACGGTCAGCTATATAATTTCTGCGACGTGGATTGCCGTCTTCAACGGGGGTTCGCAGGCAACGGCTGTTCTTGGAGCCTACATCGTAGGCTACCTTGCAGAGAGGATCGGACGCAAGAACACCAATCTGATTTCGTGTATTATCTCGATGGGTGGCATTGCTGCTCAGTATGCGTCCAATGGTCACTGGGCGTGCTCACCGCTGGAAAGGCCATCAACGGTATCCCCCTGGGAATGTGGCTAGTTGTTGGACCTCTGTATGCATCTTGACACGTATCAAGTTAACTGTACTATGATTTAACCTCATTTGACACGTCGGCATTTTCGATGTAGTCGCAACGCTTGACATGAAATGGCGATTTAGAAACCCCGCCTACGACGATTCCTGGACCAGGCATAATTCTATGACTCGCGATAGCTAGTCAGCAACCATGCCCAAAAGTGAATTGAAAGTGTGTACGCAGCAATCTGGAAAAACAACCTGGCGTTCAATTCTACATCCAGAAACCATCAAGGCTTAGATTGCCCGGTAGTAACGATGAGCATACCTCCATGTGATCCAGAATATACCGAAATCCTCCAGGACATTGGGACTCGAATCCGTGAAGCTGAGCCGCTGCGTATAGATGATGCTGCAGGGCGCCGTGCCATGATTGCCAAGCGGTTCACCAATATGAAGCCCCTTTTGTACGACGTCCAAGATGTGGTCCTGAAAGAGTGTTCACTTCCCTTGCCAGACGGCCATGCGATACCAATATGTTACGTTACTTCCAGCCCCTGCAGCCCTCCCCCTCGGACGCCTAAATGCCAGCAGTACTCTACCTACACGGAGGCGGGATGACAATGGGCAGTGCACTGGACTCACGCATCCTGCTCGCCTGGTACGCCACAACCGCGAAAATCCAGATTTTCTCGGTCGAATACCGTCTGGCGCCGGAACACCCTCACCCGCACCCGTCGAGGATTGTTATGCGAGTTTGAAGTGGTTATACCGCGAAGCTACCACTTTCAACATCGATGTCTCTAGAATTGCGCTCATGGGCGAAAGCGCCGGTGGCGGACTCGCTGCAGCCGTCGCCCTACTCGCGCGAGACCGTGGGGAGGTATCACCTCCCCTCGCGAAGCAGATTCTGATCCAGCCTATGCTGGATGATCGCAACACAACCCCCGGGCTATTGAGCACCGACAGGTTTACATGGACATATGAAGATAATTTGACGGGATGGACTGCGCTGCTGGGTTCAACGGTTGGAACAGAAGATGTGCCATGCTATGCTGCGCCTGCTCGAGCAATGGACCTCAGGGATCTGCCACCGGCATACTTAGAGATTGGGGAACTCGACATATTTTATCCAGAGGCAGCTTCATTTGCCTCGCGTCTCAGGGCTGCCAGTGTGCAGGTAGAGTTCCGTCTGTACCCCTGTGTTCCGCATGCTTTCTATTCTATCCTGTCGGGCTCAAAAGCGGCGCATCAAGCGCGAGATAATCAGATAAATGCCCTACGTTCCATCTAGATGTCCCTTGATATTTTTTATTGCAGCACGCCACAGGCCTTGTCGTCTCGCATGGCTTAACTCAGGTAAGCTGAGTTCATTGAAGGCCTGATGAAAGAGTATTAGATCAAGCCACTGGGGCATTCTCAAGCAAAAACATAGTAAACTATCGACTTCCATTTCAGGGCATACATTTCGGGAAAGGAAACTAGTTTTCCAAGCTAAGATCTTTTCAAGTTCGACAGGGAGAGGCAGTTGTTGACAGGTGTGTACGGTATCACCTTTGTCGGATTTCCGATTAGCTGGGCAATGATCAGTTTTTTATAGCCAATTGGCACTTCCCCTCAAGAGAGCCCGGAATAGTTCGGCCAAAAGCAAGACACATCACCCTGTATTCCGCTCCAAGGGGCTTCCTTTGCCCATTTCGACTATTTGTAATGATGTCGAAAAGGATTTAGGTGCAACGGAAATAGCTTTAGATTGAGTGGAAACGAACTTCCGCCTTCATTGATTGGCGATGAGAAATTCCACTCGGTGTGCTTTGCAGCAAAGTTGTCTACCTTACACCGCGTCATCTCACCGGAGAGATTTCCGCCGTTTCAGCTGTATCTTTATCAACTAGCGCGTTTTGATTGTGAGTTTGTACCATATGTTCCAATAAAAAGTTTGCACCAGTGTGTCAATATGACGCATTACGATATTCCCTGCCGCCGTGCTGTTATCGGGATATAAGAGCCTATGTTTGAGCCGAGATTCAGACTGCTCTGCATTGCTCTGCTCTTTCACAAATACCATGTCAGTAATCCTCACATACCCAGAGAAAATAAGGGTGATACTCTTCTTCTAATGTGCTACTCAGACCTTCTAATACCATGGAATACACGTGTATAGAACACGGAAAAGACTTTGGGGGTATGGATACAGCGATCGAGCATTTGCGGCGCTATCATGTTAGCTTTATCAGTCGTGCTGGACGTCTAGGAGCTGCAGATAGTCATGGACACATATGGTATTGCTTTGACTGTAAATCCAAGAACTTAAACGATCATCGAAGCTTTGACTCCAATCGGGCTATGTGGGATCACCTCACAGTGTGTCACGGGTTTATATTGGACTGTCTAGATGCTCTTTGAGAGCAAACTCGACCTTAGTATGAGGTGAAAGGCAATCCTGATTTTTCCCACTGCAGACGAGACTAACCTCTTTTTTGTTAAGTGTCAACAAAAGCTCCGAAGAACCGAACAGTCGTGCTCATGCTTAGCGACGTCAAATGTTGGGCTTTAAGTCGGGAATTTTATGGCGCGGAAAGGGGGATGTCTTTTTCCTTGTGTCTTATTTAGGAGACAGAGTAAACAGTGTTTATTCAATGTATCTCGCTTTCAGTACTTTCAGCTAGCTCTCCTATTAAAGGGAAATTGAACGGAAATTGCAGGGAAGTCGAAGAGAAGTCAAAGCGAAGTTTGAAGTGGGCACTCTAATCTTTCCTCTTGCTTGGCTAAAGTAATTTCGGTGATAGTGGAGACACACATCGTACTGATAATTCGATATATATACCCCTTAATCGAAGAAAATATTCCTATCTTGAGTTGATTCTGCACCTGTAATTCGATTTTGTGGGGGTGCGTAGCAGTTCTTCGCCATAGAGGGTCTGAGCCTGCTGAGATAAGATGATACTTTATATCCATGCAAATGGCCGGTCCCTTTGATGAGGCAAGGTGGTCTAGAACTAAAATCAATCAAATTGTTGGGCGGTTGAGTCGCTCGAAGATAGGGCGAGAAAGACTACGGACTGAAAAGGATGCTCGCCAGGCGAACATTCCACCTGCAATATTCCAATATCGTACTTTTTTGAGACTATCGCTAATATCTATCTATACTGTTGAAGAGGAAAAGATCATTTCTGTTTAGAAAGGTATGGTTGCCCACCACCCCCTATGAGGACTTCTGGTTGATAGAAGAGTGCTGCAGTGGAGGGCTTATCTGATGGAGAGCAGTTGGATGCTTCTTTTACAGCCTTACCGGTTGAATGAGGTGACGAGAGAGGCAGTTGGATGCTCTTCTCTCTGGACTGGCTTAGAATAGTAAAATCACAAAGGTCTGCACCGCTACTTCCCCAGGGTTTAACTGATGCTGGCGGCGCGACGCGGGGAGAGATGGCCCGACAAGCCGCTGCGTGTACTCCGCAGAGCATCATATCGTAGAATCAAGGCTGCAACGAATGCGCCAAGAGTTGGTCGAGTATGCTCGATCGGGTTTACCAGGCGGTGATGTCTTCCACCTCAGCCTCGCCGAATGTGCTGCTCTTGGTTAGCGTGTTCACTCCGTCCGCTGCTTCCACCCCCTCGGCCGGAGCCTTGGCCATGATGTCAGGCAGGACCTCCCGGAAGAATTCCAAGATGTAATGGTTGACCTGCTCGAACTGGAGAAGGAAAGCGTCATGGCCTTCGGGACTCTCAATTCGCTTGAGGCGCGAATCGGGAATGCCCGCCGCAATCTGCTGCTGTTCCTCGAAGGTGAAGAGTCCGTCACTTTCGATTCCCAAGACCAAGACTGGTTGTTGAATCTGCGACAGCGCCTCCTTCACCGGGTCCACTGACGTAGGACTGGCCCGGTGTCGAGATACGTCATGCGTGTCGAGCTTGCGGGTCACCGCAATGTAGCAGTTCGCATCGAATCGCTTGACGAACTTTTCACCCTGGTACCGAAGGTACGACTGTGCAGAGAAGTAGGTCGGCGGCCGTCTCTGGCGCTTAGCGTCGGTCTTGGTGTCCAGGGATTTACTGAAAGTTTTAGTCCCCGAGAACTGCGGGTCCATGAATTCGATCTCGGTGGGTTGCGCCGCGGCCGCCGGCGTGTTGAGTTCGCTCGGGGTGGTCCGACCGCTCTTGTGTCCGTCGTTATGGATGGCCCAGTGCTCGTTGGGCGGACTGGGCTGTCTCACGGTGCCGTTGATGTTCTGCCGCTTGGAAGGATCCGGCACATTGCGGCCGAATCGGGACTCGAACGAATTCCGACTGCGATAGGTGAGAAGGGCCGACATCCGGGCGGCACCCAGACCGGTGATCGGAGGGTCCTCGATCGAATAGTAGCCATCCTCGTATTTCGGGTCACTGTAGATGCTCTGTCGCTGAGCTTCGCCCCAGCTAATGCACCATGCCGAGTGGCGCGGCGACGTCGCGATGGGCACAATCGCCCTCACGTAGTCTTTGCCAAAGAAGGCATACTCGAGAGTCAGCATGCCACCCATGGAGCCACCGACCACGGCGGCGATCTGGCGGATCCCCAAGAAGTCCAGCACGATTTTGTGGATCCTATCCAGGTTAGCTCTGAAAAGCGACCGGAATTGATTAGGGAGTGACGTACTTCACATCGTCCCGGACAGTCGTCAGAGGAAACTCCGGCCCGTAGAGTCCATTTTCGGGGTTGCCATCCTTGTACGTCACGGCACTAGCACTTCCGTACGGACTGCCCAGGCTGTTCAAACAGATCACAAAGAAGCGAGAAGTATCGAAGGCCTGTCCGGGACCTCCCAGCAGAGGGCCCCACCAGTCCGCCACATCCGCGCTGCCACTCAAGGCATGACAAATGACCAGGGCGTTATCGGCCTCCGGGGACAATTGACCGCGCGTCGTGTACGCCACGGGAACATTTTGAAGAGTCACGCCGGATTCCAGTGTGAAGGAGGGGACGACAACATAGTTCTGATCAGTGATGAGACCTGAGTAAGGGTTTTCAGGTTGCGAATCGATTCTCTCTACGGGATTTAGTAGCCGTTCACCAAGCATGCGGGGCACGGGGGGACGGAGCACGGGGCAAGAAGAGGGATACTGACGGAGTTGCGCCGCAGCGCCGTTGGATTGAGAAGCCATTCGAAATTGAGATGGACGATTGAATCAATGGTAATGATAGATGGAAAACAAAAGCGAAGGAGAGACAAAAAGAAGAGGAAAGGAAGTGAATTTAATGAATTGCCATGACTCAGAGACTCAGAGAAGAAAGAGGGAAGAAGCAGTGGAGGCCGATGACTGTGCAGGTTTGGCTGAGCCCAAAGGCGAAGGCGGTGACCCACCCACGCGAATTCGTCATGTCGCGCCAATCAGCAGTCGCCGATCCTCTCCCCTGATTCTGCAGGCTGGCATTTGCTTGGTTTGCTCGGTTTGCTTGGTTTGCTTGGTTTGACTGCTTTATTCCGATTTCCGAAACAGTCATCGTCATCGGCATTATTGTTGTCCATTGACTCCGTAACTACTCCGGTATTCGGTGTATGTACAATGACCTCAATGCGGAGGATGAAAGATATCCCCTCCCTCCGGTCCCTCTCGTGCCTTCTGCAGTCGCTCCGCGGTCGTCTTAAACAGCCGAGGAAGTCGAACCTCCTCGTAGCTTTTCCCTGTCTGAATTATCTCGGCCAGTCGCTTGGCCGACAGCAGCACCACCGGCATGCCATGTCCGTTGAACCCGGCGCAGATATACTGTCCCTGGCGACCGGGGACCTCGCCAACGTGAGGGCAGCTGTCGACGGAGTACCCCATAACTGATCTTCGTTAGCTTGAATGTCATAGTTATCTCGGTCTGATTGCGTCTCGACTTACTCCCTGTCCAAATCTCCTTCACGTAGGCCCCGCTGTTCTGCCATCCTCTGAAGGTCCGCTGCATATAACCGTCGTAGTAGTTTTTGGTCGGCTCGATGAGCGTACTGTCATCGATTACGTTGTACCATTCCGATTTGTCATGCTGAAAGGTGTGTCCAGCACCTCCGACGACGATGCTTCCGTCCGGTCGAGTGGTAAGGTAGCTATCGAACCCCCCGTCGACGGTATTTAGAACATACGAATAGGGGAGGAACGGCGCCTCTTTGCCCTCTGGAAGCGCGATGTGGCAGCAGATCCCGCGACACGGGATGATGCTGGCCGAGTATTCCGGCAGCAAGCCGGCCGTGTACGCGTTGGAGGTGTAGACCACTTTGCCGGCGCGAATCGATCCTCGCGGGGTGCGCACAACATGTCCGGAACCGTCTGGCTCTACAGAGGTCACGGGCGTGTGCGCTTGCACGTTGAGAGCCGGAGAATCAGCGATCTTAGACAGCAATCCCAGAATGAACTTGTACGGCCACAGCGCGCCCGCCGTGTAGGAAAGACAAGCCTTAGCACCTTTGACGCCAGAGACCTGTATCCGATTAGTTCGTTGCTTATTTAGACAATTCCGAACACTAAGGCCTCGGACTCACCCCTTCGGCGTTCTTCTCCGACGTGTAATGGACATCATCGACAAAGTTCAGCCCGTGGGACGCGAGAAGATCAACGGTACTTTTCGCCTTCGTCCCCGCGGCCTCGGTCGAGTAGACATTCATATTCCGAGTGATGTTCAAGTCGCAATCAATGTTCTCTTCGGCCAAGAGATCCTTCAACGCTTTGACGTGGTCGACTTCGAAGTTGGCGACCTCAGCCGCAGCCTCCGCTCCATGTCGCTTCAGATGCGTCGGGATGTGTCCATACAGGTCCGGTCGTAGATGACCGCCTAGATATTAATCGTCAGAAAGAAAGGGCTGTGCACTGATCCCACAAGCACCTACCGTTTCGACCCGTTGCGCCGGCGCATATCTGCCGGGCCTCGAGGATGGTGATGGCTGGATACGACTGGTTGTGCTCGCTCAACAGCTTGGAGAGGTAGTACGCCAGGGTAACGCCCGCGTAACCAGCCCCGACAATCACAATCTCGCTCTGTTCAGGCAGATCCGGCGTTGTCCGCAACTCGTCCAGTTCGTGCAACTCCGTGCGCCAGAAGGGCCGAGTGGCTTTCTCGACGGGGAGCAGCGGGCGAGTCTGGGAGTCCATCTCGGGCAGGGAAATGTGTTGAAAGGTGGATTCGGCGATTCCTTTCATGCTACCTAGGCAAGGTGTTCAAGCCTCGTGTGTCTTGAAGGATGAAGTGGAAGTGTAGACAAGCATGACGTGGTAATCTTGGCCGAGGCTGGAATCCTTCCCCACGTGGATCACATCATCTGGTCCCTGCTGATTCATGTCTCAATTGATTGCTAAGGTACTAGTTGCCTATACTATGGAGTAAACATGCACAACAATGACCCCAATCTAATCCAAATCAATCATGATCAACCTCCGCCAACAACCGATCCGCCGTCTCCCGAAACGCCCCCATCGCTGCCCGCCACAACTCCGGCCCCAGACTGATCCTCGCCACGCCGATGCGTTTCAGCTGCGGCACCGTCAAGAAACCCTCCCCTAGGCCCAGCTTCACGTTAACCCGGCCCCCCAACGCCTCCACCAACGCGCCAACCTCGGCGCCGGACACCCCCCTTCCCCCGGGTCCTCCCCACACAAACACCGTACACGCGCCCGCCTCCAGGAACGCCCGGCCTCGCTCGATCGCATCCTCGATCTTCCCCGTCCCGGCGGGCCCGAGGACGTCCGTCCGCGCATTAATCACGAAATCCGGCACCCCGGCGTCGCTGGCCGCCTGGACCGCCGCGCGGATGCGATTCACGGCCTCAGGCAGCGAGCGCAGCGCACCCGTCGCGTTGTCGACATCTTCGATGTTGCAGCCCACCACGCCCAGCGCGATCAGTTCCCGGATGGTATGCACGACGTCCTCGTAGCCGTCTTGCGCGTCGACGGTCAAGGGCAGGTGCGGAGATGTAGCGGCCACGACGGAGGCGATGATGCGCGCGGAGGCCAGGTTCTGCGAGAGCGTGAGGGACTCGTCCGCGACTCCATGCGAGGCGGCCACGGCGTAGCTGGCCGTCGCGACAGCTTTCGTGGATAAGTGCGAGGCGATGTACAAGGCTGTGGCGCCGTCGTAGATGTTGCTGAGCACGATCGGGTTGCCTGGGGCATGCAGGCTGCGGAAGTAGATGGCGCGGTCGTTTTGGGAAGACATGATGATTTAGGTAGCAAATTGGTTTCAGATAACGAGGCAGGAATGTTATGGAATAGAGCAAACAGAATATTCCAGGATTAGGTAGAGAAGTGGAGCACAATGACTTTATAGCGAAGCATTGAGTCATTTCACAGGGCTGGGTGCGGAGTATACGAAAAACATTGCTCTCAAATTGACCACTCGCGAGGCAGCACTCATCTCCCTTGACTAATTATTATCATCCATCACTGCATCCCCATTTATGTAGTGCAATTATCCATAATAATATTTATTCCCTTCGACATATCTCCCGCTCATGGTATATCTCCCTAAAATAGGGTACACAGATTGCTGCTTACCCCGGATGTTTGGCAGCCTCAGGCACGCAGCCTACGGATGAATTTCTAGCCTTAGTTCACTACATTTCTTTATAATGACGAAATCAAGCTTTACTCGAAGATGCTAATACTTTATAACTGTAGATTAAGACCTACCGGTTGGGAATTTCACTATATGTTCTCTTTCACGTCAACAGAAAATCAACAATAAGTATATGAAAGAGCTCTTCTTTCCCGTAGGCCATACAACCCTCTCTTCTCTCTTCCATTATGGCTCTTCTCCTAGCTGTTCTTTTGATCTCAGACAGATTACATGCTTTCTTTCCCCCTCATAACGACGTATCACGGTGCCCAGTGGACCGGACAACATTCAGTCAGCGGGACTCTACTATCATCACCGATCACAAAGCTATCGAAGAATCACCCATTGTTCCAAATCAGGTGCGGGCATGATGAAATATTGTCTCTGGGCACATTGCAGTGATGAACGTATTGTCGAAGGATCTGACCCCACATAACACTTAGCATTACCGTGCGCGAAGCCGGGAAGCTAATAAAAAAAAAAGTCTTGAGCAGGTAGAGAGTCACGAACTTAAGCGAGAAAACCTTGTCCTCTGCCTTCGTCACGATAATACTCCGGGTTATCGGTACGAGGTAGCTAGGGAGAACCTTGGTTGTGGTGGTGAAAATGGTCATGTTAGGGCTTTGTCTAACTGTCTGACCATGGATCGCGGCTTCAACGGGATGATGACATTTGATATGGGGTTTTGTCGGGTTCAGCTTGTTTATCACTACTTTGCGCTGTATATCATTGTTCTCGCTTACGCTGTTCGAAGTAGATCGCCATCTCTTCAAATGCGGGGTTTAGTTCGATTACTGATAAATAGCGCGGGCAGGCATCGCCCAATACAACTACCTACTTGCACCGTACTACTCTCCTACCTACATTCCCCATAGTCCCGTCCAGCACTTGCAAAATGCCCTCCATCAAACACGTCGTCTTCGACGTCGTAGGAACCTGCTTCACATTCGACGCCTTCTTCTCCGCCATTGAATCCCGCCTCGGGTCGCGACTTCGCGCTCACTGCATCCAACCGCAACTCTTTGGTTACGCCTGGATGGAGGCCGCAGAGCGCGAATACGCCTACCTATCTATGTCGCATCGCTACCAACCCTTCCTCGCCATCTTCGGTGCCATATTCTACCGCACGCTTGGGTTCGCCGGGATCTCCGACCCGCGGGCCTTCGCGTCGGACGAAGACAAGGAGTTTCTAATTCAGAATTATCATCAGTTGCAACCGCGCAAGGGCGTCGACCACGCAATCCAGAGCTTGCGGGAGGCCGGGTTCACCGTGTGGTGCTTCACGACGGGAGATGTCAGTCGGGTGAGGGGTTACTTTCTAAGCAGTGGCATTGATATGCCCGTGGAGAATTTCGTGTCGTGTGATAAGGGTCGGGTGGCGAAGCCGGCGTTAGAGGCGTACCAGGAGGTGATGGGCAATTTTGATCAGTCTGAGGTGCTGTGGTTCGCGGCGGCGCATATGTGGGATGTTTCGGCGGCGAAGGCTGCAGGGTGAGTTCTCGTCTTTTGTTGTGGCTGATTTGTTGGTTGTGATATACTAAAGCTATCTATCTACTGGTAGGTTCCGAGGTGCGTATTGCACGGCCTGGGAGAAGGAGTCATGCGCGGAGATCTTTGGTGAGATGGACGTTACGGCGGACTCGTTGCCCGAGTTGGCGGCGCAAATTATCTCTGCGTCGTAGAATGTAGGTATCAGATAGGCGGGGTGTCTCGAGATCTATCTGTCGATGTGTGTATGATCCGAGATCTCTCGCTTCTGTGTTTGTTGTAAGTATGTGAAGCTAGATTGAACAGACATGGTGTAAGCATTGCATATGTCTCATAATGCTGCGATATTATACCTGACCGTGTAACATCGAACAAAGATGCCCTCTACCTAGAGTCTAGACAAAGAGAGCAACGGCACGTGGAAGCCAAACCCGATCAGGCTGGTCTAACCGCATGCAGACTGATTATTAACACCAGTTCCTCCCATGACACGCTAAACCCAAACAGGCCAAAGCCACAGACACGCTAACCGCAGCCGGACTAGCGCACTACATCATTTCCGTCGAGGAAAGACTTGGGCTCCTCCGACCGCAGGGGCATCGCATCGCGAACAATGACCGTCTCGATCCCCGCTTAACTCCCCATACAACACCTCAATATTTCTCCTATATGGTCCCACGCCTCAATATCGCGCATTAATTTTTCGCAATGACCGACTACTCGAAATGGAAAGTGACCGATTTGAAGGCCGAGCTGAAGCGGCGCGGCATTCCGCAGACCGGCCTCCGAGTCAAACAGAACTTCATTGACAGGCTGCTGGAGGAGGATGCGAAAGGCGAAAGTGAGCCCGTGAGTGAGGCGCCTGTTGACGCGGAAGATACGTCTCAGGAGGACGCACAACCGGTCGAACCTCAGCAAGAAGCACCGGAACCCACAGCGGACGACACGACCGAGTCCCACGATCACAAACCTGAAGAATCTCTGCAGGAACCGCTACAACAAGAGGAGGCCCATTACCAGAATGGCGAGCCACCAGCTGAGGAAAAACCTGCCGAAGAGACTCCAGCTGTCGATCAACCCGCCGAGCAGCCGCCACAAGCTCCTGAAGCTCCTGAAGCTCAGGCCCCTCCAGCTCAAGCTCCCCAAGAAGATGAACGAGAAGCTTCGGCGCACCCGGTTGAGCAGGCTCCCGGGAGTACTGATGCCAAGCAGCCAGCCGCAGAGGAAGAAACACAGCAGCCCAAGGCTACCGAAGCTGTCGCGTTAGCCGTCCCTCAGATCTCGGAGGCGAACACGGGGTTGTCTACACCTCTAGCTCCCGAGGAAGTTCTAGAGGATCGTCGCAAGCGCAAACGCCGCAGCCAAAGCCCCATTCCTACCCCCGAAGCGCTCGCGCACAAAAAGGCGAAGGCGGAAAATGAAGAAACTAAAGTCACCCTACCGGAAGACAAGGACTCGATGGATGTCGACGAGGGCGCCCAGCAGGACGAAGGCGTTCCCGAATCGCAAGAGGCAGCCGAGAAAGGTGCCGACGCCGAGCCTGAACAGAAACCCTCGCCAGACCAACATGAAGCCCAAGACGGAAAGCCCAACGAGCCTGTCCCCGAAGATACTCCCACTAAAAAAGATGCCCCGGCGAAACAAGATGTTCGCTTCAAAGGCCTTTTCGCCGCCCCGGAGGCCGAACCCCGCGCAGCATCACCTCCCCCGGAGGATGCAATGGACGACGACACGGTTGAGCCGGCGAAGCATGTGGCCACCCCGGCACTTTATGTAGATGGCCTCATGCGCCCGCTCCAGCCGAACGCTCTCAAAAGTCACCTACTCACCCTGGCATCCCCTCCCGGTGGCTCCCAGGATCCCGACATGATCACGGATTTCTACCTCGACTCGATCAAAACGCACTGCTTTGTAAGCTTCGTCAGTGTCTCTGCAGCTTCCCGCGTTCGCGCCGCTCTTCACAACACCGTTTGGCCCAACGAACGCAACCGCAAAACTCTCTTTGTGGATTTCATCCCTGAGAACAAGCTGCAGGAATGGGTCGATCTCGAGGAAGGATCGCGACGACGCGGCGGCCCTCCACCCCGGTGGGAAGTGAAGTATGACCGAACGGATGACGGCGTCGAGGCAGTCCTAGAGGAGATCGATCCCCGAAGCGCTGCTCCCCAAGCCCCACGCGGTCGCGAACAGGCCGAATTCTCTCGCCCTCCGCCTTCAGGACCTCGTGCAGAGATGGGCGATCCTAGTCGACGTCCGAGCGGTCACAGCGAAGCCGACAGCAAGCCTCGGCCTGGGCAGGGCTTCAAACCGCTCGATGATCTTTTCATGTCCACAACTACGAAACCTAAACTCTACTATCTCCCCGTTCCGCGATCAGTAGCCGACCGCCGTTTAGACCGATTCGACGATCTTCTTCGAAAGGGCTCGTTTCCGCGTCGCGGAGGGGACGAACCCCGGCGCATCACCTTCGAGGATGGAGACTTGTTCGTTGATCACGGTCCAGACTTCCCACCCCGAGGTGGCCGCGGTCGAGGCGGTCGCGGACGGGGACGAGGTCGTGGATTTGGCGATTCATGGAGAGACGATCGACGCGGCCGATATCATTGATGTCTATCTGTACCTTTATTTATGTATCCTTAACCTTTCTTTCTTTCCTCTTTTCTATCTACGTCCTTTCCCTCCAACTCGACACTTAGAGTATAGGAGAATTGCAGTTCGGGCATGGTTGCTTTGATCTATGGGGGCGGACCGGTGTATCTTGGGGATTTGACCTGACTTTATTGGAGAAACTAAAAAACAAACAGCCGGATTATGTCGAGGCAACTGTAACTAAAATACAAGGGATGGATGGATGTACTTATACTTGAATGACCTGGACTTATGTGCAATAGGAACGTTCTGTGTCGAGAGTCGAGGGTAGAAAAAAATAGACAGTATTGATACCCTGGTTGGTTCCTGCGGAATGCTTGTCAAGTCTTGTCCAAAGCTTGGCTTTCTTTTTCCCTGTAAGTAGAGAGTCGTCGAATAAACGTCGCTGTGTCGCTCTGTTAGGGCTGAAAATTGGTTCCTGAGGCGCAGCAGCTTCCGTCCACCCGTCAAAATGCGTCTGGATGCATTTTCTCCTCTTCAATCGACACCGCCACGTTTTGCATTCGTGTGTTTCTAATTTCAGCCATCAGTGCTTGTCTCACCCCATCCACAGTTTGAAAATTCCAAACACAGTCCTGCCTGAACTGTCTGTCCCAAGTGTCTGTTTTGCCGCCAAGCCGGTGGTTGACGCAACCTGCCCATTAGCTGAGGACGGCTCAGTGCTCACGCCAATGGGAAAACAGAATAGCGCCATTCGTCAGGGGGAAACTAAAAGAACTCAAGAAGCCAGGTCCCAGGAACCAGAGAACCCAGGAAAAGACAGCGTTGGATCCAGGGGCTGATCCGCTCCGGGACAAGACTCGACTAGTGGATAAGATAGCGATCGCCCCAACGCCATTGAATCTAATTCCTCCAATTCTTATTATATGCTGTCTTTCATCCATCAGAACCATTAATTCTGCGGCCCGACGATCTTTCTCTTTTCCCCCAAAAACTCTTAAACACCACTCTCCTTGAGGCCTGTCATCACCATCTTCGGCCTCCCTCATTGCCGCTAGAATGGGCTGGCCACAGTGTGATTCGACGTTAGAAAATGAGACCAGTACGCCGCTCCTTCCGAACCCCATTCCCCGCGGGATAAATCTGTCTGACTGACCGGCCTTTCGTTGTGAACAGTTCACGAGGTAGAATTGTGGAATGGCGGTCTTACATTTCACACCCTCTGCTTGATTGCCGGAGGTGTTTTCGCCATCACCGGGGCCTGTATTTCATTCTTTTTGATTATGTGCCATGCCACTCACTACAGCAAACCCACAGAGCAACGCCAGTGAGTTCTCCTTTTCTTCGTTCAGTTATCCGATCGCCGACTCCTTTCCTGTGGTCATTGTCGCGCTGGACTAATAATTCTCTGGCGATACCAGTGTCATCCGCATTCTTCTCATGATCCCCGTCTACTCCCTCGTCTCATGGCTCGGAACCTATTACTACAAGAAAAACGTCTATTTCACCGTGCTCGGCGACTGCTACGAAGCTTTCACGATCGCCGCTTTCTTCTCCCTTCTCTGCCACTACATCGCGCCGGACCTCCATAGTCAAAAGGATTACTTCCGCGGAATCGAGCCCAAGCCGTGGGTATGGCCAATGAACTGGCTGCAAAAAGTCTGGGGCGGGGAACATGGAATCTGGCGCACGCCGCGGAGCGGGCTGACCTGGTTTAACGTAAGATAACCCGGTCGCCTGTCCTTGCGGTCGCCTGTGTATGGCGACTTGTCAACGGGAGTGAGGCTAATGAGGAATTGTTGAACAGGTTGTTTGGGTCGGTGTCTTCCAGTATTGTCTTTTGCGTGTGCTCATGACTATCGTCGCGGTGCTCACACAAAAGGGCAACGTCTATTGCGAGGAAACGCTGAATCCGAAGTTCGCGCATATCTGGGTACGCCTTTCTCTGTGACTTTGCTTTTGCAGCGTGGGACCTTACTAACTGGACTTTGTATTGACAGGTGATGGCTGTCGAGTGTATCGCCGTCAGTATCGCCATGTACTGCCTCATCCAGTTCTATATCCAGGTCAAGGACGACATTAGCCAACATCGACCATTTTTGAAGATTCTCTCGATCAAGCTGGTGATTTTCCTTTCGTTCTGGCAATCGGTAAGTCGCAGACACTGCTTCCTTACATGTCACCCGTTTGCGAAGCCTCGGCTCATTCTATCGCGCAGATTATGATATCCTTTCTCTTCTCCGCCGGGGCCATCAAGGCGACCAAGAAGCTCCACGCCAGTGACCTGAAAGTGGGACTCCCCAATTTCTTGATCTCCATGGAAATGGCCATCTTCGCGGTTCTGCACCTGTGGTCATTCGCATGGCAGCCGTATTCCATCAAAAACCCTCACCCAGCCGAGGTCACCGACTTTTACGGAAACGGCAAGGCGACGTACCAAGGCGGCCGGTTTGGATTGCGCGCTCTCGGAGACACCTTCAACCCGATGGATCTCATTCGGTCCGTAGCCCGGAGTTTTCGATGGCTATTCGTGGGTCGCAAGAGACGCACCATGGACCCCAGCTACCAGACCTCCACTGAAGGAATCGGCCTCAGTTCCAACGGCGGCACCCCCGTCACGACAGCCGGAGCCGGGGCCTCGATCGCTGGCGGCCGTCGCACCAATACCGCCGGTAGATATGGCACCTCACCCGACGACGAAGACGACGGACTCCTGTTCAACGCGCAGCCTAACCCTGCCTCGCACTCCCCGACGGACTTGTCCATGATGCCGCCGAGTTATGAGGAAAACGATAGCCGCTTTTACAACCATAACCGACTCAGCGCCATCTCCCTGCTCGAGCCGGGCATGCACTCTCCGCAGCCGTACTCACCCTATGAGGACCGTTTCCACAACCCTTACATGAACATGATGCCGGAGCAATCGATGCTCGATCATTCCCCCGTTGAGCAGCACCCGAACAATCAACTGCCGAGCCAGAATCTCACATCTCAAAACTACCCCCCTGCTATCACCATAAATACCAATACCGCTCCATACCCCTCCGATGAGCTACAAGAACAAGCTCCCATTCCTCTCCCAGACACATATTGCCCACCTCCACAACATCACGACAGTGACCCTTCCATCCAACGATATCCTCACTCATAGTACTGGCTAGACTGCCGGGTCTAGTTTATCTATATTCTGGACTTTTGACTGACTGACTGATTGATGGATTTATACGGGAACGGATGGGATGAGATCCCTTCTTATGGTCGAGACGAACTTACCGTTAGTTTCTTCGTTTTTATGTATTGCTTGCTGGTTGTTTTGGTTGTCTATACCCTGTTTTATCTATGCCTTGGGATTCCGCCTTTCTTTTCTTTTGCTTCTTGTACATACTTCAATGATATCATGGGTGGATTGCCTCTTGCATTTTTCTCTTTTTTGCTCTCTTTCTGACTGCAGAGCCTTTTGATTGAAAATCGTCGGAATTCTTTACTGTCATACTGTTTTGTTGGATAGATAGGGAATTGGTACGGAATGAAGGACATTGAATCCAGCCTTTGATTTAATATTGGATCTTTCATTTCTCATCATAATCAAAATCAAGTACCTGCTCTAGGGACACCCAACGCCGGTCATTTTCGAAGCTCATCTAGACTACTCATCACTCTAGCATTACCTTGCCTACCAGACTAATCCAGCCTAAGGGCCACAACTCCTCCCCGTGTCTGGCTTACGCATGCGTAAGGCCATCCCGGGAAGCAAAAAAGTCATCATCGAACCGATTCTGCACAGCGAGTTGCGTCTTCCGCGAGAGCATATTCCGACGCACATTGTTCATGATGGCGGATTTTCTGCCTAGTTCGCGCATGCTGCTGATGCTCTGACTCAGTTGGCCGAGGAGCGCGACGAGGTGGACGTCGTTGCTCTGGGCGAGGACTTCCTCGGAGAAGGCGCTTTGTTCTTGCGGGCTGAGGAGCGAGAGGTGCGAGAGGAGGGAGTTGATGTTGCGGAGGATGGGGTGTGAGAGGACTGCTGCGGGTTTGGTGTCGGAAGAGGTCGGGTTGGAGGGGTTTGATTGTTCTGGGGTGGATATGCTGGAGAGGTAGGATTTGATGAGGGAGATTCGAGACTCGAGGGCTCGGATTGCGTTGATTCGGGTGTTGAGGTTGGCGATGACTATGTGGGGTGTGTTAGTAGTTACGGAGTATAAGTTTGTAGGATATAGAGAGAGGGAGATATGCTTACGTTCTTCATCCTCCTGTGAAAGCACGTGGATGTCCGTCTGCTCTTTACCCTGAGATTGCTTCTTCTGCGACTCGCCGGTACCGCCGGTGCTCGATTCAATCGGAGCAGCATTCGTCGCGCTTCGAGCAACGGTATCAATCCCGATCATCTCGGCCTCTCCGGTTTCGACAAAGTACGGTAGTTCCCGGAATCGAATGTTCAGCGACTGTTCTTCGCCGTCCACCTGCATAGCCTTGCCGCCTTCTGCGGCGTTCTCTCCCTCGTATACGCTCTCGTAGATCGTCAGCGGTAGTTTCCCACCGCGTGAGGATGCCCCCTGCACTTGGGATGGATGGAAAGCGAGGAACACGGCGGATTCATTGTGGTCTTGGAGGATCTGCCGATGGATGGGGAGATGGGAGTCGTCGGGGCCGGACGGAGGGGCTGTTGACCACCAGCCGACGAGGTCGAGGGCTGGGACTTTGTGGACATCCTTGACTGTTCGTGGCACATTGTTAGTAAAAATGAACGATGTAGAGGTCGATCAGTCGCGGGGGTACCATACGCTGCTTCACTCGCTCGATGAACCAGTCCTGTGATAGCTGTGCCTCGCCGTTCGGGCCCTCCACCACGATGCATTCAAACGCATTCTCCAGAGTAATTTGACGGCCGTTCTGCTGTCCTAAAAGGGCCCCAATAATCGGACCTTGTTGACCTCGTGCCGCATGACGAGTGATGTGGTCGGAGATAGTGAGAAGTATCAGCGGATGGAGCTGGATGTGGAGTCCCGAGTCCGAGGATTTCTGGGAAAGAAGAGAACTGCGTTGCTCCTCCATGGTGATCCAGTAAAATAAATAAAAACACAGACAATTCAAGAAGAAAAGACAGAAGAAAAAGAAGATGTGACGGGTTCGAAGCAAAGTAGCGAAGAAGTGAGCTGCAGATGCCCTCCAAGGCGGAGCGGAGAAGCTACCGTTGTTTTGGTTTGCCTTGTTTGCATTCCCCCTCGGCTTCCCCGCCGTCGAAGGCACTCGTCAACTTCCTCGACTTCTTCTCATCTCGTCAATTCCTGTAGACGTCGGGCATCATGGCGGTCCCTTCTTCGTACGACGAGGTGAAGCTTCATCTCCAAAAGATCCAGAATGATCCGACCACGCCTCTGGACCACCCCCTCCTTGACAAGCTAAAGTTGGAGCTGACAGAGACCGCGGACCGCAAAGTCCCCGCCACCCTTCTCACCCAGATATCGCAGCTATTGCCGGTTCTCCAGGAGGATCCGACTCCGATTACCACCCTAGGAATCAAAGCTACAGCTTACTTTGGCTTCACCGAGCTCCGCTCCGTCGATCCTCCGATTGACTTCATCGCGGGATTAAAAGCCCCGTCGCCGCCTATCAACTTACTGGCCCTTTCTCTGCTGAGCAAAGCGGGCAAGGTCCCTAGTGACGCCGCGATTGTCGCCGGGGACTCAGAACTGGTTGCTTCCCTCGTGGATCTCTGGCTGTCGACCTCGTCTACGGCTGTCGCGCAAGCCGCCCTGGATGCGATATGGGCTCTTTTGGAGATCGATCTAGCCAGTCCATTGGAGAATGGGATCCCTCATGAAAGCGACGAGGTGGGAGGAGGACAGGGCCTCGTGTGGCGGAGACTCTTCACTGATAAAGACGTGTACGGTCGTCTGTTCTCGTTCTGCTCTTTGAGCGATAACGGTCCCGGGAGTCTGCCGAAGCGCGAGAAGACATTGGCTCAGGGCCGGCTGATGGGCTTCCTGGTCAAAGCGGGTCGGCTGCGATGGGATACCATCTCCAGCTCTCAGGTGCCAGAAGTCGAGGCCAAGTACAACAGTCAAAGTCTTTTGCACTTTGCTGCCTGTCAGATGGTCGAGCAGAATGATGTGCTGATGCACATGACTCTACTGAAATTCTTCCATGAGCTCCTAGAGATCGATGCCCCCGGTTTGACGGCGCGCACGTTTGTCCAGTCGGCATCCACGTTTTCCTCACCCGCTCTCGACTTCCTTATCGCTCACAGCCTCCATTCTACCCTCCTAGGCTACTATCTGGATGAATCGAAACTCGACCCCGTGGATCTGAATTACCTGTGCGGGCCGATCATGGCTTACGTGGCGCAGTATGCCGAATTGTACCCTAATCATTTCTTGCAGAACCCTCAAAGCTTGTTGAACCAAATCTTGTCTCGGATTTCGGCGTCAGTGGCGATCTCGTCGGCTCAGTGGGCGCATGGGCCCGCACCGAGTGGACAGCTGAATGTGCTGTCCTGTCTTCCTCGCGTGATGCTAGTTGAGGCCAGCAGGCAAGGCTTGAATCCCGTGCTTGCGCTACCCTCCAGCCCAGCCAACAAGGAGGCATTAGATGCATTGAGCAAGATCCTTCATGGACCCCCGAAACTGGACCTGGCCGATTCCATGGAGCTGAACACGTCCGGCCAAACCGCCACGGACTGGCACAAAGAAGCCGCCGCGGCGCGGGCCCTGTACTTCATGTACTTGAACCATCGCGCTAATTTCTGGGCGGACATTGTAGCTGCGGCAGATCTGTTGGTCATGAAAGACGTTTTTCTCGCGGCGATCTCGTTCATGAAGAGCATCATCACCGCCAACTGGCAGGAATTGTCCGGCGACGTGATCTCGTCCGTCCCCGGAACTACTCGGTATCAGCTCCCATCGGAGCAAGGCCTGGGCAATCTCTCGCCCGCCACGCAAGGAGTTCTGCCTGCTACGGGTGTGTGGGCAGCACTGACACCACCGGCACTGACTACGCTGCTACCGTACCTGTTCAAGCCACCCCGCTCTTATGCCGAGTTCGTCGGCGGTGGAGCCGCAGATCCGCAGAATGTCGTGTGGAAGGTTGCTACCGCGAAATATGAGGTTTTAGTGGCCCTATATGAGGGACTCAATGATATGAACGGAGAGGTGCCAGGGTTCGAGGACATCGTGCGAACACTCAAGCAGCGAGTGAATGAAGGGCCGTGGGGACCTGTCACACAAAACGGAAGTCGGGTGGAGACTGTTGGTTTGTGAGGTGGATTTTAGATACTCTGGGACATTTGTGATTCTAACACTGTTTCTTTCTTCTTTTTTCTCTCATTCGGATACCTTTTCTATTCAATCAAATATCATGATGTGACGTTAAGTTATGGTGGACCTTTTTATACTTCATCACCGTATTCTGCACCCCCACTCACCCAAGGCGGTGAGAATCGTCTCCGCCGGACTTTTTTTTCTCGCGCGTCTGTCATCCTGTATATTTTCCTCCACTTTGGCCTCAATCCCTCCAGTCTCTTCTCCCTTTTGGATATATTTATTCTTGGTCCTTCTTTCTCGTTCATATATTCTTAAATATACTTAACATGTCCCGCTTTGGAGCCAAAAAGGGTGGCAGGAAGCTCCCCGGCGCCGAATTCACCTGGGATGCCGATCCGAATGGGGAGCCTGATGGCGCGCCGACCCCTCTCTACCCTGTATGTTTCGTTGTTTGCTTGACTTCTGTGCTGGTGGGATTGGTTTACTTCTGGTCTAGCCTAGTCAGGTCGCCAATTCACTTCACGATGGGATTGGCACCTTCCACCTCCCAGTCGCAACTACCACTTATCTCCAAACCCCTCCTTCCCCCTCACCATCCAACCCACACCTCTCAAGTACTCAAATACAACCAAGCTCCACGCAACTGATACGAATAAAACAAAATGCAGAAATACACCGTCCCTCGCGCCCGTCCGCTCTCCGAACGAGAACTCCTCCAAGTGAACCTCTACCGGGACCTGCGCGACAGGTTCCACGACGGTCCATACTACTCCGTTCTCGACGCCGCGTCGTCGGCCGCGAAAAAGGGCAGTGCTGCGCGCGCGTCCTTTGATCCGTTCCATGGCATGCCGTCTTATTCGGGACGGTATCAGAAGAAGAAGAGGGCGTTGCCGTTGATGAAGGGGAGGGCTTATGGTATGTATTATTGTTCCCGTCCTTTTCTTGGCTGTCTTTGAGAGAGCGGTGGGGAGGGGCTGGATAGGAGTGAAATGAAGTGAAATGAAGTGAAATGAATCAGGACGGCTAATCCGATGTATCTAGTGATGAAATTCTTCCCGCGCGAACTCTGGCCCACCATCCAACCAAACTTCAAACCCAATGCCTCCGCCGACGGATACGTCCCCCAAACAGCGCGATCGGGGATCAAGCGCGGATTCGAAGATGATGACGAAGAAGAGGACGAGGATGACGCAAAGAAGAAGCAGAAAGGCGGCGAGGACGGGGAAGGGGCTGAGAACGATGATCTCCTGGAAGACGAGGAGGGGCAGGAGGAAGAGGAGATCATTGACGATGATTTCGAGGATGATGAGGATGAGATGGGTGGAGATTATAATGCTGAGCAGTACTTTGATGGCGGAGATGATGAGTTTGGGGATGATGGGTTCGGAGATGGGGGTGGTGGTGGGGAGGAAGATACGTATTAGATTCCTGTTTTTTTGTGGATTGTTAGTTTTGTTTTTGATACCCTTTTTTGTTTTCTTTCTCTATTTCCTCTTTACTGTGGTTGGGAGTGGGAGTATTGTTGGCTGGGATGTTATATGTATTCCGGCGGTTGTGTCTAGATATCCGAATGGCTAGTGATGTGATGCTTCGTCTGACTGCTTGCACTCATCAAGCGTGACCCATGCAATTACCCGGACTTCTTCCTACACATCCCCTCTTCATCCCAATCTTCACTTCCAACACCCATGGTACAGATAAACAGCCCATCTTTATCCCAGTCCTGCTTGATCTTGTACAGCCGCTTATAGTTGTCCCCCCAGAACCGCCACTGAAAATCCTCCTGCTGAGAATTCGCGCCATTGACATACGACGCCATCCGAGGCTCCAGGGAAAGCAGAAGCGGCATTTGAACTCCTGTCAAGAAACTCTGAGCCGTCCGCTGCATCTCGAAGCTGGAATTCGTCGGCAGGTTAACGAATAGATCGATCACTGTTAGTGCCTCCCTCCATGCGGGGTGCACAGCACTATCGACGATGTTCTTGTTTGCCTTGACCTGACCACCGCCGAACGTGGTGACTTCAATCGTGCTGCCTGGTGCTGCTTGTAGCTTGGAGAGGGTGTCAGCTAACTTTGATGGAGCGTCGTCTGTGTGGTGGAAGTCTTCTGATACCAGGACCGAGCCGTGGACGTGGCCCATGCCGCCTGCGTTGACGTATTGCGGGTTCTTTAGGTATGTGCCGAGACTGGGGAGGTGGTCGGACTGGAATACATGGGATATAGCAGCCCTGGTGAGGGCTTCACGCAGCGGAGCGAATTTCTCATCTGTTGCTGTCACAGTGGTGTTGTACAGGGTCGCTTCCAGGTCAAGAGTTCCCGTGGACGAGTCATTAAGGCTGACTGGGTACACGGAGATTCGGACGTGGTTGCGTCCTGCGGCTAGAGTAGGCTGCGCAGCGAAGAGCTCGCGAGCGGCTTCCCAGAACTTCTCGCTCCCGGTGGGTTGAGTAATGGTTAACAGAGTATGGACAGCCGAAATGTCTGGATAGACCCGGATCGTCACGTTTATGACTACCCCGAAGGTGCCGCCGCCGCCGCCTCTGAGGGCCCAGAACAAATCTTTGTTCTGGAACTCGTTGGCCACGACCAGATCTCCCTGTTCACTGAGTCAGTTGCAGTACCTTGCGCGCCAGTGCATACTATGTTCACCTACATCTGCTGTAACTACAGTGAACTGGAGAGCATTGTCCGAGGCCAATCCAAAAGGTCGGTTCAGCACCGATACGCCACCACCTTGGATATATCCTCCCGCAGTGCCAACTGTGCTACAAATACCTGTAATAGCGAGGTATCCGCCAGCGGCCCCTGCGGAGTTCAGCTCTAACCCTATTACGCCTGCACCCATGGTGACCGCAGGTCCGCCGGAATGATGGGCCTTCGCGCCGCTCGGGACAAAGTCAGACACGTACTTGATGTCTTTGAGCCGATGAGTAGCAATCTGCAGAGAATCCGGGGCGCTTGATTTGCCTGTCACGTCATGGCCGGTGTTTTTGACAACGAGGCGAATATTGTGCTTCCTCACGAATTTCAGGGTGGCTTGCACATCTTCCGGGGTCTCCACCACCGCAGCATAGCGAGAAACTCGCCCCTGTCCGCACATTGTATCTTTTGGGGAATCAATATAGCAAGATTCATTCTTCGGTGGATAAGTCTCCCAGTTGGTCCATTGAAGGGCACCTGTTTATTGCTTGTCAGGGCCTGTTGCGTGTTGACTCGCTAATGTGAGCGTTGTTTAGAGGAGGGATTACCTGGCTGACTAGCTCGCCATAGAGTGCTATTTGACAGCCCCTTTACCTGATCACAATCGGCCTGGTTGAATAAATCACCGTGGCACACATAGCCCACCGGCCGCACTGCGATTAAGTTGCCATTTATGGAGGCATTGAGACGATTCCAGGACCCGCTGGACGGCCAGCAGGGCTCGTTGAATCGACAACGACAGCTGCGCACATCAGGAGTGGTGGTGGCAGACGTACTAGAAAGTAACACCGCCACAACGATGGCGAGAGCCCTGTACATACACAGGAGGTTCATTTTTTATGGATTATAACGATGTCCGTACCGCATGAGTGCCCTTTCCCGGGAGTAGGGGGTATTTATACCGGATGGAGTCCGCTAACGACGGAGTGTCGTGTGAACATGTCTCGCATAGAGAATAAAATTCAAATTCAAGACCTGACCACCGACAGTATTTCTGGCGGCAAGGTATATTCATAGCCAAAAGAGCCCAGTGCCCTTGTCAAAGGTGCGTGAGCGTACATCTCGCTGCAGAAGGGTTGTACTAGAAGATGCAAGGCTCGAGTCGTTTGTCTCTGACAGGACACTGTCTTATATTTATAGGTCGTATCTAGAGCGGCAGAACATGGATCATGACCAATGAATGGTTCGTCAGTTTCTGTGTATACGTTTGTTGGTTTTTGTTCCGGACGTGAACCCCGGGAGTCATATAGTCCGAGGGAGCAATCATGATTTGCAATGGATATGTGGCGTAGATGATACATCAATCATCGAGTCGTATTTGGTGAACCTTGCAGAAAGAGGACATGAGTTCGTAGCACAAGATGTATCACCAGTCAGCACGGGCACCGGTGTCCGAGCAACGGGACTGTCATAGGCCATTGCTGGTTTGTTTCGTGATCGACATCATGCGATAAGAACCGTCTTCTTTCACGGTGATTTGGAATGGGATGATAGAAAGATGGGTTGACCATAGATGAAGAAGAGAAAGAAAGAGAGGGAGACATGGAAAATAGTTAAGAAACCTCAGGCGCGGATGACATCATCCCGATCCGCAGGCTAAAACGTTCTTCGGCGGTGCGACAAACAATTGCCAAATCCCCCGAACCAACCTCAGGATACGCAGCATGGCGGAGAGTCAGACGCCGACATTGCAGAAGCGGTCTGCTCTCATTCTCTATGGCTCCGAAACTGGGAATGCCCATGAGGTGGCAGAGGAGCTGGGAGTGCTGGCTGAGCGCCTGCATTTCGTGACTCAGGTCTCCGAGTTGAATCATGTCAAGCCGGTCGGTTTTCTCGTAAGATCGAGGATATGCAGCAGCCACGCTAACTGGGGGTTTTATTTAGGAAAACCTTCGCTCCTACAATGTGACTATCTTTGCCCTCTCTACGACAGGTCAGGGTGACCTGCCCGCCAATGCCCGATCGTTCTGGCGGTCGTTGCTGCTGAAGAAGCTCCCCGCCACATTCCTAAGCGGGGTTAATTTCGTCTCGTTTGGTTTGGGGGACAGCTCGTATCCCAAGTATGTCCACTTTTTCCTTTTGCACATTACGGTTCAATAGCTAAAAAAAAAAATTTAAAAAAATTGCTCAAGGTTCAATTGGGCTGCGCGCAAATTGAACAAAAGATTACAGCAATTGGGAGCAAACGAGGTATATCCTTGCGGGGAAGCCGATCAGCAACATCCGGAAGGGTATGTTTTCCACCTCACTTGAGACATCCCCTACCAGGCCCTAATAATATCACAGCCTCGAAGGGACCTTTCTTCCGTGGATGACGGATCTCCGCAAGCACCTGCTAGAGACCTATCCACTACCGCCAGGACTGGATCCGATACCGGACGACACCCAGCTGCCCCCTAAATGGGTTCTGCAACCACAGGCCCAGGACACATCTTATCATCAGACGGATGTCTCTGTACCCGGAACCCAGGAGGCTCACGTGGAACCCGATGCGTACCCGGGGCTCACTAGATTAGATCATGATCTGAGACCCATCCCAGATACCTTGGCGGCCACCCTCACCGGTAACAAGCGGGTGACGCCGCCGAAACACTGGCAAGACGTGCGACATGTCTCGCTGACCGTTCCTGACTTCGTCTCATACAACCCAGGTGACATGCTCGCCATCACGCCGAAAAACTTCGCCGACGATGTGGAGGCAATGATCAAGATGATGGGCTGGGAGGAGCAAGCCGACCTGCCCGTTTCGCTAGTCCCTAGGGATAGCCAGCAAATAGTAGACGAGGAACATCTTCCTCCTGTTCTCGGCCTCGAAGCATACCCGAAACTGACGTTGCGAGCGCTGCTGATGGACTACTTGGATATCCGAGCCATTCCTCGTCGCGCCTTCTTCTCGACGATAGCCCATTATACCAAAGATGAAATGCACAAAGAACGACTGCTAGAATTTACGAACCCCGAATTCTTGGATGAGTTCTGGGACTACACGACCCGACCAAGGCGTAGCATCATCGAGCTGCTGTATGAATTCGACTCAGTCAAGATTCCGTGGCAGCATGCCATTTCGGTCTTCCCCGTTCTTCGGGCGAGGCAGTTCAGCATTGCGAGCGGCGGAGAGCTGAAGCGAACCCCGGAAGGCGGGACGAAATTTGAACTACTGATTGCCACGGTGAAGTACAGAACCATTATTAAAAGAATCAGGGAGGGCGTTTGCACCAGATATCTTTCCGTGCTCCGTCCCGGGAGTACCTTGAGAGTCCAGCTTCAACGAGGAGGCTTGAATTCATCCGTAAACCAGCTCACCGGAACAACGGTACTGATAGGCCCCGGCACTGGAGTCGCACCCTTACGATCCATGCTTTGGGAGAAGGCGGCGCTCGTCAAGGAGTACAAACTTCAGAACCAGGGCGCTGAACCGCCCATCGGACCGACCATCCTCCTCTACGGCGGCCGCAACCGGGCCTCAGATTACTTCTTCGAGGACGAGTGGGAACAGCTGCGCGACTTGATCAAATTGCAGGTATTCACGGCGTTCTCGCGCGACCAGGGCCAGAAGATCTATGTGCAGGATGTTATCCGCCAGAACCTCGGCCTCTTTTACCAATTCCTGCATGAACTGTCAGGTACCGTGTACGTCTGCGGATCATCAGGACGGATGCCACAAGCTGTTCGAGAGTCCTTAACTGAGGCCTTCCAACGTGGAGGAGAGCCAGAAGGAGAGGTCACCAGTCGAGAGGAGGCAGAAGAGTATTTGATCGGTATGGAGAAAATAGGGCGGTACAAGCAAGAAACGTGGTGATCGATCCATGTCCGTAGAGATCTGAACCATACACAAGACCTTATGAATAGACATGTAAATAGTTCATAGACTCTGATGCAATTCATACATAGCCTACTTGGCGGTAACCTCGGTTGGAAGCGGAGGGGATCTCGTCGGGCCGCGTCGGCGCTCCCTCTCCGCCCGGTCACCTGCTTTCTGCCGCGGAACCGTCGAATCGGCCTCTTCTCTTCCACCCTCTCCTCATTGATCCCCTCTCTGCTGGTCCTCCCCATTTCTAAGACCTTCTCATTGACTCCTCTCTCGTGAGCTGTTGACCTCTTCATAATACTTTCATAATGGCCAGTGGTCTTCGAATCCTAGTACCCGTCAAGCGGGTCATCGACTATGCGGTGAGTTTCTGATCAATTCTCGTTGCTCCGTTCTCGGTGAAAGAGTCACTGTACCTCCGCGGATCTGTGCCATGACGCCGACCATCCGTATAACCACCAACGCCGACGTCAAATGGAGGGATCTATTGTCCTTGCATAAGCTTGCAAACTTGCATCAATCAATGATTTAAATATCCACCACTAATCCAAACACCACTAGATCAAACCCCGGATCAACAAGGCCCAAACCGGAGTCGAAACCGCCGGTGTCAAGCACTCGCTGAACCCCTTCGACGAGCTCTCCATCGAAGAGGCCGTCCGTCTGCGCGAACGCAAGGGCCCCCTGAAGGTCGACAACATTCTCGCGCTCTCCGCAGGCGGAGCCAAATGCGCCGACACCCTCCGCACGGCCATGGCCATGGGCGCGGACCGCGCGTTCCACATCGACGTGGCCGACAGCAACGACGGAGGCCTGGAGCCCCTGACCGTGGCCAAGATGCTGAAGGAGGTCGTCAACAAGGAGGACATCAACCTGGTGCTGCTCGGGAAGCAGGCCATTGACGGCGACCAGGGCCAGACGGGTCAGATGCTGGCGGGTCTGCTGGGGTGGCCTCAGGCCACGCAGGCCAGCAAGGTCGACGTCAAGGACGACAAGGGCACCGTCGAGGTGACTCACGAGGTGGACGGCGGTGTCGAGACCCTGCGGGCTCAGTTGCCCATGGTGATCACCACGGACTTGCGGTTGAATGAGCCACGATATGCCAGTCTGCCCAACATCATGAAGGCCAAGAAGAAGCCATTGGAGAAGAAGACCCTGGCCGACTTTGGCGTTGAGGATAAGAAACGATTGAAGACGTTGAAGGTGACCGGTATGTATTCCCTTGGATATCGATTTCCCAAAAATTCAATAGATCCCGGTGGCTGACTCCGTCTAGAACCTCCCGCCCGCCAGGGTGGCGGAAAGGTCGAGGATGTGAACGGACTGGTCTCGAAGCTGAAGGAGCTGGGGGCTCTGTGAGGGAGAGAGAAGTAGACCGATTGATATACACTGTAGTAGACTTTTGTATGTTTATGACCAATAAGCAAGATTTATGGCAATCTTAGATCTTATCCTTATTTTCTGTTGGTTTTAGGTGTGGCTTTGGGACAAGCACAGTGAGGGACTCAATTGCACTCAATGCCTAAAGTCAGATGGAATTTACTTAATCTATAGCCCCCTAATGTAAGTACTGTTTGTTTTAAGAAGCATTGGTAGTATTCCCTAATTACTTTAGCTTCATATATTGAAATTCTGCACCGATATTTCAACCAAGGCCGGCTGGCCCAATGGCAAGGCGCTTGACTACGAATCAAGAGATTGCAGGTTCGACCCCTGCGTCGGTCAATCTTTTTGCTTTCTTTTTGCTCTCTCTACGTAGGGATTGCGAATCATTTGTATCTTTCAAGTTCAGTTCTGAATCTAATCGAGCCGATACATTCATTCAAACCCAAAATGGATTGATTTCTGATAACCTTATTCTATTAGGGCACGCTCCGTATCCCAGTCCCATTTGCTTCTGCGTCAGGACAGCGAGCAATCTGAATTGATCGAGTTGCTTAGAATATGACCAAGGCTGCCTCAATGGCAACAAATATGAAATGGAAGGCCCGACACTGCAATCTACCGAGCACTTTACCCCTTCCATAGTTACCCTTCTACTCCGTATGGCCGATTCATATAAGCTCCTATAGGTCGAGAGACCTAAACCACTATCTATATGACCCTCCTATTCTGCGGAATCTACTCATCTTGATCATCTACGGCATTCCATACTCCAGCAAATCTACAATGAATATAAATATGATAATCTGCACTATTATGTCATCAACCTATACTCCGATTGTACCTATACACACCGACTAAGGCTCCCCTTCATTTCTAACCCGACTTTATATCGCTTATAGATCTACCCAGCAAGCTGCATATCCTATAGCTCCTTAATACTTTGCCTACACTGAAAACCCACTCCCTTATGGTATTCAGCCTCCAACGCCTCATTTTGACCCTCTACACAACACCTACACGACAATCGTCATATCCATTTCATCATATAATCAAACATTCTGCCCGATTTTCATCCAAGGCCGGCTGGCCCAATGGCAAGGCGCTTGACTACGAATCAAGAGATTGCAGGTTCGACCCCTGCGTCGGTCAATACTTTTTGCTTTTCACTTCTGTGATTTTTGACCTTTTTTTTTTTTTTTGGTGCTTCATTGGGGAACATCGATGAAAAGTGGTGCGATTCTAACGTCCAATGTCGCGTGCGGGTGGGGCGGAGAAAATTTTGGTGACCCGCTGTTCGCCGGGTCGACCTGACCGCCTTAGGGACCGCTTTGTCGCTAGTTTTGGGGGGTCGAGTCACTGCATGAGTACGGAGTAGAGGGAAACGGTTGATAGATCTAGAGATTTTCGTGTACTGTGATCTATGGTATTAGTGAAATAAGAATCCATATGCTCCATTCAATTGTCTATTGAGAAGAGTCGAGAAACCGGAGATCTCTTAGGTGTCATTGATTATCCGGCAGAATCAGGCGGTGCGAAGTCGAAAGTCCAAACTACCGCGAGTCGACCGCCGAGAACGCTGGGATAACCGCAAAACCGCAAGCGATCAAATTGAGTTCATCAACTGATGAGTTGGCGATCTCGACGATTTCTAGACTAATTCCTACAAACTCAAAACACGTCGTTCTAATTTAAAATTAAGCATAAGTAGTCGCGTTTTGCAGTAGAATAGACCACTAATTTTTCAATCGCTCTGGATCGCTCTACGCGGCGCAAATGCCCAAAACGTAATCTGCCAAACTCCAACCACACCGAGGGTCGCGCCTTCTCGAACTGGTTGACTGCCGTCGGGTCACGTGCCGTTTGCGGTCGGTTTGGTCGAGTCGGTCGCTTGAAATTGCATGATGTCATGCATTAGCGGGCCGACCCACTTGGCGCCCTCCGTTTTTCTGCCATCCCCATCCGGCATCCACCCACCCTCATTTTTTGTGCCAGGCTCATCATAGCAAATTCTGTGTCGATATTTCAACTAAGGCCGGCTGGCCCAATGGCAAGGCGCTTGACTACGAATCAAGAGATTGCAGGTTCGACCCCTGCGTCGGTCAATACTTTTTTGGCTTTTTTGTTTCTATCTTTTTGGATCTGTTATCTATACAATATGTATGTAGTATATATAGGAATGACTTTTTTGTGTCGTTTGAAAGTGTCACTTCGGGAACATTCGTCTTGTTGCAAATCTTTCTAAAAGACAATGATAGAAATGAATGTCTCGGTGTTAGACGTACATGAGGGTGAGAAGCAGGAAGATTTGCCAATGGTAGTTTCCAATAGCCGAGCTCACAGTGGTCACCATCCTCTCCCTCTTTGCCTGCTTCAGACCTTCTCTTCGTCTACACATCTTCTCCATGAAAATGCATGGTGAGAACAACCTGGATGGGCTTACTCTTGGTTTTCTAATGGTACGTACTAATAGTCTTTGAGATCCGCAAAAATCCAGCCGCCAAAGGATCAAAATATATATCTCACGATGCAAGGGCAGCCTGGCCTAGCAGGTCCAGGAATAAAAGAATAGGCCTCGTGTTTGTCAGGTCACCTCAAATTTAATCTTCTAGACCACATCGACCACGAACGCTGTGCTGCATTACACAACGAAATCCTCCACCGAGGATGGTTTGGAAGTGGAAAATCACCCAAGAAATTCCGAACTTGGTGGGAAGTGCATCAACCACCAAAGGAATTCGAAAATCGATTTGATCCCTACCTGGTGAAATTCCTGAAACGAGCCCTTGAAAGTGAAGATCGCAGTCACTTCCTCTTCTACTGGGTTTCTAATCTAGCACGCCCGGAATGGATGCTTGATGAGACTTACCCTTGGGAGGATGCGTTGGTTCTTCTCTATATGATACCTCACGCAAGTAATGGTCATGAACTAGGCCCTATGTTGGTATTTTCGGCTAGATGGGCTGGGCTGGGCTAGTATATGTTGATGCTCATCCGAGTTCACAGTTTCGATCAGGAAACGGCTCCAGCGTACTATGTACCCCAATTATTGACTTAGGCGAAATTTACAGCGATGACATCGGATGGAAACATTTAGAGGTTATCCTTGACGCCTATATTCAGGCCATTGATGGTGGGAAGATTAGCACTATGGAGCCTACATATATCCCACAGTCTGTCCATGGCGAGGGGGACGAGGATGATGATGATGATGATGATGATGATGATGATGATGATGATGATGATGATGATGATGACGACGAATCTCGTCGCTTTCCTGTCGCTGTGGCTCCGGCGACAGAACCATGGTATAGCCATTGGCTCCACCGAAAAGGACTTGGAGAGAGCCAAGAACGCTATGCATCGATTACTAGATGCAATTGAACAGCGAATGCCAAAAGCCTAAGCCCACGGAAAGCAAGATTTCCCCCCTCCCGTGGCCGGATGCTAAAGCCCTAGATCCCATCAGTCAATTTCCCCGGGGCTGTTTTGCTTTTGGTTTTCTTAAGGCCATCACCACTCACTCGGTCAGCTTTCACTAAATTGCCCCGGGACTTCGCTTACCAACAGCAACGGAAATACCCGAGTTTCTGGGCCCGAAAAATGGGGAAGATAGAATTCTGGAATGGAGAAAGACTGGGGGTATGCCCCGGAGGATGCAACCTGTGTTAATATTCCTCATGGATGGAGGAGACTTGGTACGGTGGCCGCCGCACTTCAGAGGCATCGTACGTACGGGACTGTACATCATCTGTGCTTTTAGCTGGGGGGGGGGGGGGGGGGGGGGGGGGGGGGGGGGGGGGGGGGGGGGGGGGGGGGGGGGGGGGGGGGGGGGGG